ATTTTAATAAACATTTTAATAAATATTTTAATAAATATTTTATCCCAGTGCTTGTTTGTAGCTTTCAGAGAGGGAGAGGAAAGGAGGGAGACAGAACGGAGCCGCTCATGGCAGGACGCGCTGCAGCTGAGGGAGAGAAGCACCTTTTTGGGAAGGCCCGGCTCTGCTCCCGGGTCCCCTCCTCGTGGGGATGCACCCACTTGGCGGCAGCGCCCCGGCAGCCGTGCGGGGATGGCGGGTTGTTCGCACTGGGTTTTATTGCTGTGGAGGAGCAGTTCGCTGGTGGTATCAATGGGGAAAGCGAATGTGTGGGGAGCTGATGGTGCGAGATAGGGCCCGCTGCCGGGCAGCCAGGAAGAGGAGCTCGCTTGTCTCCGTGCTCCGCTCGTGCCCGGTACCCGGCAGTGCAAACATCCCTACCCCAATTCCACYGCAAGGCTCAGGAGCCGGGGCCGCTGCCCCCTGGGCTGGGCGAAAGCCTCGGTGGCTTCAGGGTCTGCAGACCTCGTGTGGTGCCCATGGTGGTGGGTGCTCCRTAGATGCCAGCGTGCTCCGCAGATGCATTGGCAAGGCTGGCTGTCCATCTGGCCGGGAGCAGCCTGGTTTCCCACCGCTAAGCCTGCAGCTCCAGCCCTCGGGCACTACCGGCATTCCCTGGGATCCTACAGTATAGATGGGTGCTGCTCCAACCGCGTGTGGTGAGCAAAGTGTAGGGAAGCAGCCTGGAATCATTACTGTGGAGCCCACTTGCCTTCTCCCTTGTGCTCCTGCACACACTGTGTCCGAGCCCGTGCTCCTTCCCTGTATTTGGGCTGTGCTTGCTGGTCCTCCAGCACGGAGGTCCTGTCCGGTTTTGGCCTCTTACCCCAATGCCTAAGGCCAGCCTTGGATTTTGCTCCAGGAACTWCTTACTTCTTCCAGACAGGCATAAAATTCCTGTTCTCAAGTAACTAGATATCTCACACGTGCCASCAGCTGGATGCTCTTCCATGTCCACATCTGCTTTTTGTCCCAAAGAAGGCTGTCATGTAGCTGGTCTTATGACAGACGTCTTCTGAGAAGCTCACATCCTGCTTCCTCTTTTGTTTATCTTGGTACAGTAATCGCTTCGATCAAGTTTCCTACATGCAGTTGGTGACACTGCTCAGAAAGGTCTCTGAGCGCTCGCCCAGGTTAGAATGGAAACTGCGCTAAACGCAGCCGCCTCTGGGGTGGAGGGTGTAGCGGCTGCTCCGAGTGCCCTGGGCCGGAGGAMACAAACTGCATCTCCTGAAGCTGGTGTTAGACTGGCCGAGACAGAGCCTGCAAGTCCAAAAAGTGTCACTAAGCCCCGTGGAGGCTGTGAYAGAGCCTGTCCTTGCAGGGTGTAGCGCTGCTTGGTCTTGGGGCACCTTGGTGCCTGGGTGGGTGCACACGGCACAGCCTTTCCTTAATGTCTCTTGACCAAACCCACGTGTCTCATGACCAAACTCATGCTTTTCCCAATCAAATAATGACTGATGGTCATTACCTCTGTTGGCCAGGGAGCTAAGGCCATGGCCACTGCTGAAATGTGGCCCCCTCAGTCATGAAGAGCAGGGTACAGGCGAAAAATGCATGGGGACAAGCCGGTGAGAAAAGGTCATGAGAGAAGGTCACCTTGTGGGATTCCCAGGGTGGTTGGACCCCTGAGCTGGGAGTGGACCAGGCAGTGTGGGTTTCTCCTCAGTAGTTGATGTCTGATTCAGCCTGGACTTCTAATGCAAGAGGGAAAAAGGGCTGAGAGATTCAGAGCAGGAGATGCTCTTTGGAGAGGCAGTTGTTTAGTCCAGTGTGTCCCTAAGACACCATCATGCTCAGGGCCTGGAGATGCACTGGGTTGCTGTAGGCTGGAGCTAGAGGTCTGGTACAGGTTGAAACTTTAAAGGTTTCATTAGGGGCATCTGCTTTTCCCAGAGTGAAAGCCTGCTTTGTTTTCAAGGAGCAGCACCAAATTGTTTGGTCCGTACAAGAGGTTGCCCAGAGGACCAGGCAAGCTCCTCTGCAGTTTTCCAAGGGAAGGAGGAAAAACAGGCCGGTAAATCCTGTGAGGAGCTTTCGGAGAGGAGTGCAGCCACGTGGGATAACACACTGTGCGTGAGCACAGACAGGTCCTGCCTTGCACCCGCCCCAAGCCCTCTCCGAGCACAGGCGGCCTCCTGAGACCCTGTGCAGCAGGAGTGTTTGATTTCCGTACGATCTGGGTGCTTTAGCAGCAGCTTTTCCTAGAAATGATCTTAGGTTAGTCTGGTTAGCCTGGGCCTGTGCGCTGTGGGTGAGATAAAATGCCAGCGTGCCTTTCCTTGCCGTGGCACGGACGTGCGGTGCCCGGCACGGTGCAGTCATAGCTGCAGGTTCCCTGCTGAGGAACCGGGAAGATTTCTGCTCTGTAAAGGAACAATTTAATGCCCTAAGCTCTGCGTAATCTCTCCACTTGGTGCTTACTCACTCGCACCCCTGCGTCGGCTCCCACTGGGGCTGGTGATCCAGTGTGGGTTAGAGCTGCCTGGCTTCATTTCCCCTCAGAGTCGGGCGCATCGCATGCAAATCATTTGCACAGGCCCTCTAATTTCTGAGAAGTATCAGAAAGGCATCACACACTCTCCGCGTTTATTTGCAAACACTATTAACCATTTCCTGTTCCAGCCACTCCTGCTTGCCGCCTGGTTCAGACCCACGCATGTGAATTCGGTTAGAAAGTTGTGGGGGGGCATTGCAAGCGTGTGGGTTTCTCTTCCTCAGCATGTTTTTAGTGTAATTTATGTTCCTCTGCTCACATGAGATCCCTTTTTTTTTTCTCCCAAGAGTTCAAGGGCATATAGGTCTGGGCTTAAGCTGACTACATCCACGSTTTGGACGCTGCATTCTTCATTAAATTATCTCCGGATAATTTAAAGCCATTTTAGTGTGTGCTTTTATTTCCAAACAAGATGCCGTCTCTGCAGCCCCTTGCTGGCCTTGGGCTGGCACCTCACTGGTCTTGCTTGTGCTTTTTGCTTGGTAGCCTGCAGAGCTGCTGGCCATCCTGGGCCAGCTCCTTTTGGCCAAAAAGGGACTTTCTGTGCTGAAATAAAACTGGCTGAAATGTGCTGCTGAAGTTCTTGTTTCTTAGCTTTRAGTAACAAACTAGGTTTTCCTTTTGTCCCCTTTTCTCCCTGCCTTTTTAGCCCTTCTCCTTCAATGGTCAAGTGGAAAAGGGCTCAGGAGAAGGACTGCCCCCTGCAGTCAGCCGTATTCCAGCTCTAAGACAGAGAAACTGTGGGTTTTYTGAAGCATCAACAGGGCCTTTTCTTTTAAAGACCCTTTTTTTTTTGAACATTTTTGAACATTTTCTTTCTTTCCGTGGCACCCATAACACTGCCCCCCCGCTGCTGTCACTGCATTTCGGCCTCAGCCCMAGGGCCTTGCTAGGGGCAGGATTTTCGCACCGCCTCGTTCTGGCGAGCCCAGTTCAAGCTGCTTCGAATGACCCTGTGGGTCTGGCCAAAACGTGCAGTCCCCTTGGCGTGGGCTGAGCGGGATTCCRCAGCACGAGCAGGGAGCGTGGAGGTGGAAAAGTTGGTGCTGGAGCAGGGAGCCGCGCTCAGCCGTGCAGCTGCCATCGCCTCGGTGCAGCCAGATGGATCTTTTTTKCTCGCTGTTCTTTTCTGTTTATTCTCAAGCGAGGAGGGGAAGGCATTCTCGCCCTTGCGGCAGGGCCAGTGCTCTGCTGGAGAGCTCCCGGCTCGCCCGCGCCTGCGATGATCCCGAGGGTGCCAGCGGCTCCGAGCGCTCTCCTGCGCTTCCCGGTCCTGTGGCTGCCGGCTCCTCCGCGGGACAGGGCTGCCTGCCTGCCCCGCGCTCACGTTACCCATTTCACTGGGGTTATTTAGCCCTGTTTTTGGTAGGCATCCACGAGGAAAAGCCTCCTTGGAAYGAGCTTTCACCTTTTCTGGGGTTTCCCTTTAATGAAACCCTCCACATTTTTTTCCAAATTCCTCTCCTCTCCGCTCCTCTCCCTCCTTGCACCCTGCTATGCAGTGCAGTGTCCTCAGGCCCGGCTTCATCCAGGGATGTGGRGAGAGGACAACTCTTGACCCCAAGCATCTCATGAGAGAGAGACGAAGCTGAAATGCCAGAAGAGACTGTAAAAGAGGACGGGACAGCTAAGCTGTCACCTCAGACTCCAAGCCCTGCCTGCTCCAGCTCAGAAAACTCCTTCCTTGGCCACCCCAGGCAGGGGGCTGCATCCCTGTCCACTGTCCTGCCGGCTGCCCTGCCACAAAGTGAGATGTGAACCAGCCCCAGACGTGCAGCTTATTTCTGAAAGCCTGGAAAAAAAAGTGAAATCATCATGAGAAAAGTGTTTTTCACCCCAGTTATTAATTTTCCCCTGACACTTTCCAAAACTGCTGTGTTCACRAGCAGCGGGAGGGGGCAGTGAATCACACGGTGTCATTGCCGCTGATTTCCTAGGGGAACATTAGTCAGGGAGGTGAACAGCAAACAGCGTCGGGGAGAAAGCAGAGCAGAGGGTCCCTCCACTGATCCCGTTATGCCAGGCACCCGCCCGCGTGCCCTGCAAGGTTAATGCAGAAACAGGCCCAGGGCGGCCAAACATCCATCTGTGTGGCTCTCCCGTCCCTTTCACCTCCCTGCTTTCCATGTGCCCTGCTGGCCTCCCTGCTCCCTTTCTCCAMGCGCATTGCTGGCGGGAGCAGCCTTGGAGCCAGCAGGCAGCCCCGTTCCCCTGTGCCCCCCACAGCCTGAGCTCTGTGAAGCGGCCGTGGCCAAGGAACCTGCCGGGCCCCTCGGTTGGGTTGGGCTGGGTTTGGTTGGGTTGGGTTTGTGCACGTCTGGAGGCTGCGTGGGAAGGGGCTGGCGCGGGGAGGGGAAGGGGCCAGGCCGGGCTTAGCTGGGTGCTGCCTGCGGAGGAGGAGGAGGAAGCGGGGCGGGAGGCGCCAGGGTTTCCCTGGGGGGCACAGATGGGCCATTTCAGTTCCAGCCCGGCCCCTGTCGCACTCACGAGCTCCGTGGGGCCGTGGCGGGCACCGAGGCGGCGCTGGAGACACCGCGCCGGCGCCGGGGGACCCCATGGCTGCCCTGGCCGGGCTCTGCGCCGCCCTGCTCTGCGGCTGCCCYGTCCTGGCCGCGGCACAGCTGGGTAGGTACGCGGGGCGCGCGAGAGAGCGGTGCCCTCGGCGCCGGGGGAAAACGCTTGTGGGCTGGGAGCTTTGTGGTGAAAACAGCATCAAGAAGGCAGAAAACGCGGAGCTTTTGGGTCCGCTCGGCTGGAGCGAGGAAAGCGGCGATGCGCTGAACATTACAGTGATGGTGACGGGGATGGTGCCGAGGGAAGCGGCTGAGCTCAGCCCGTGGTGCCATCAGGCCCCGAGACCCCCCGGGACATTGGCCACAATTGGGGTTTGGCACCAAGGCCCCACGCTGAAAGTCTGGGTTTGGCAGGAATATGCGGGGTTCTGGCTTTCATAGTTTCGGGCTGCACCCTCCGGCTTTGCCTYCTGGTTTGAGCTCAACCCAAGCAGGGCTGGGGCCCTGCACGCGCGTCCCTGCTCGGGGCAGTCTGGGCAGGCCGTGCCGGGGAGCCAGGGCCRCGTGGTGAAGACCCCCATGACAGCTCTGCACAAGGAGCCCAGCCCCAGCGCACACGTCCCCGCTCTCTCGGAGCTTGCCTCCTCGTTCGTGCTGCTCTTTGTCTCTGCTCCGATCAGATCCAGGGCTGGAAGCCCCTCAGTGGTCCTTTTGGCAGAYGTTAAATCCAGGCAGGGACCAACCATGGGTTTGGTGCTAGAAAGAGGTAGGGGAACGYGGAAAAACAACTTCTGCTGAAGAGGTTCATTCATTGCTGACAGCTGCCCTTGGTAGGAAGCAGAGACCTGAGCCAGCTGAATATTTCCTGTTATAGACAAAAAACTCAGAGCCCTGAAAAAATTAAAACTCTCAGGCACTGCCGCAGCAAATGTCCGATGGGAACCTAGGGCAGTGCCCCTGCTCCTTACTTCTTTAAGTCCTTTATCATTTTTCAGCCCAGTTTTCCATCTAACCCCTCATCCACTGAAGAAACTGTCCTGGATCTACGTGCAGTTAATACTCCCAAGAGAGCGTTGGTATCAAAGGAATTACTGAAGGAACAGGAGGGATTTTATGGTGCTGTCTGCAAGAACAGGGGCTGGTGTCAGTGGTGACCTCTGAGAAGGGCATGCAGGTTTTCCAGTGTCAAGGGCTTTTCGGCACTTGGGTGGCGTGGATGAGGTGCTTGGTCAGATAACCCATGTGAGCAGCGGTTCCTCCTCTCCTTTTTACTGCTCCAAACAAAAGTTAATACCACAGCTACCTGCTGGGTCGGCTTGTTCGAGCCTGGCTCTTGCAYGCTTGAGCAACTTGGGCAACTAAAGCGAGGGATGGACAGAGAGAAGGACAGGCCCGCTTATTCCTGATAAGTTCGTTATTGATAATTACTGCTAATTTGGGGCTTGCTGGGGAACAAAATGCTGGGGAACTATCCTGAGTCTGAAGCTTTGGCTTTGGTCAGGAGGTGGTGGAGGGCACCTGGTTAATGTTCACGGTGTCTCTGCTGATTATGTCCCCGCAGCAAGTGGGGACAAGTGGCTGAAGGGGACGGTGTCAGCAGTGCTGGGTCACTCTGCCCTGTCTGCTGGTGTGAAGGCRGCGATGGCAGGGCCGGGGGGATGGCAGGACTGGGGGATGGCAGGACCGGGGGATGGCAGGACCGTGGGCGATGGCAGGACCGCGGGCCCAAGGCAGTGCCCGTGGCTTTGCACCCCGGCGGGTAGAGGGGAACTTTGGAGGGAGCTGGTGCGCTGGGACGGGGCAGCGGGCAGCCGGGGGCTTGTTCTCCTCGCTCTCAGAGATGACATCAGCTGCAGGCAGGATGACTCAGACATAAAAATAGACTATAGATTTAATAATAATACTACAACCCCCGGAGTTTGTTTTCTATGATGAAAAAATTATCTGGGGGTGCTGGATGCTGCAAACTCRCCAGGTTTGGCTGCCTGTCCTTGGCCAACCATGGTGAGCTGAGGATGCTGAGGTGATGCAGGGCTGGGCCCACACGCGCTCATCAGCAGATTTTATCTGGGTGCCCACTGTAACAACAGCCTTTCCCTGCTTCTTCTCCCTCAAACAGTGACTCTCTTCCCAGACATGTTAACTCTCCCTGCAGGTGGCTCAGCCACCTTCTTCTGCAACATCTCCATGGAGAACACCTCTGGCTCGGAGTACAGCCTCAACTGGTACAAAGAGACCAACCACAGCCAGCCCCAAAAAATTGCTGAGATCAGCCGGAACAGCCCCACCATGAAGACAGAGAAGTATTTGCTCACAAACCACACTCCTGCCTTCAAGATTGAGATCTTGAACCTTCACCAGAATGACTCAGGCTCCTATTACTGTGGGCTGATCGCCTTCTTCCAATCCAATAAAGTGATTGAGAGCAACCGGTCCCAGCTTGTGGTCACAGGTCAGCCTAGGGGCTGGGCTGCTGGGGATGGATCATCTGTGTTAGCTCTCTGCAGAGGGGCTGGGGACTTYGGTGTCATTAGCCTGGGACAAGACCTGTGTAATGGGCTGTGATGAGCATGGGACCTTGCATATGTTGGCCATGGAGCAAAGCCTTCCCTCTGGCCTGCTCCTCACTCTAGGTGATGCTTACCTGGGCCAGCGGCTCTGGCACACGTGCAGTGTTGGATGTACRTGGAAGCGGGGCATGAGTGGAGCAGGGGGGACCTCCTCACTCCCCATGCTGGGGATCTTTTTCCTTGTATGTTCAGCTGGAGGGGACAGAGGAACCCATATTCAGTGAGGTGTGCGGCTGTTAGCTGCAGTTCAGGCTCCTGTGGCAGGCTGGCATGCAAGGAGAGAGACYCAGCAGTGCCCCAGCTGGGGAGGGATCTGTTAGGTTGGAGGAAATCACAGCTCTGCTCTTCCCCTCTCCTTTGTGTGCACGATTCTGGTCTGGAGACACACAGCAGCCCATTTTCCTCCTCTTTGACCTTGTGACTGGAGATCTCCCTCCTCCTGGGGCTACTTTCCAGTGATGCTCTGGGTAGCAGCATGCCCTCCTTGGAAGGAGGCAGGAGACCCTTGCAGGGAGATGCCCTCACCCTTGAACAGCATCCCGGTCCGAGGTGTGAGGGGCTTGTCTAGGAGATAAGYTGGGGCTCACGCTCCTGGAGCAGCAGCATGTGCAGAGGTTGTTCTTCTGACACAAGGTCCAGGAGGGACGTGGTTTGCACAGCCCCGTGCCTCAGGAGACATCAGTCTCCCTGCTTGGCAGCTGGGGGACTTAGGGGCTCAAAGGGGCCTTCAGCAAAAGGGAAAGTGCTGGGGCAGCTCATCTGTGACCAATCCCTTTAATGGGGAGAGACCATTGCATTCACCTSTTACATCTCTAACATGTCACAGGAACTTTAGAGGTCACTTCATACACCTGACTTTTTCTCTTTATTTTTTTTTTTTCTTCTCTCTGTTTTGGATGGCTGTTTTAGAAGCKCCTGAGAAAAAAAACACCACTGACGAGCCTCACATAGACGACGGGAGCAGCCCCGATTACACCAAGGCTGTGCTCATGGGCATCCTGTTGCTGGCCGGTGCTGCTGCGCTCCTCGTCTTTGGCTACCTCACCATCACATACAGGAGAGGAAGTATGAATACGAGGGGACCTGCTCGGGGAACACTGCTGTTACTTGGGACTCTGTGGGGGAACCTTCTGGGTGATGCTCATCTGGCATATCCCACTCTGAGATGGAGGGAAGGCCTGCCATTCCCTGGGATTGGTGAGCTGTTCACCACGACCAGACCTAGGGCTCTCTTGGCCCTATGACYCAGAAGCCACCAAGTACAGGAAGGTGCTGGCACCCTCAAGGGCTTGGGGGCTAATGGATCACACGAGGAGGGGCAGCCATCTCTCCCATCCCAGAGAAGGAGTAGGGTGGTTTGGGTCCTGCTCCCCCATGTGTCTTGCGTGTGCTCCTGTGGGGCCTCTTTCTGTCTCCCTGCCTCAGTGACAAGGGACATGTCCTTGGTGTGACAGTTACAGTGTCTAGTGCTCTCCGAGGGCAAGTGGACACAGGGTCAGTCCTGGGTGGGGATGCTGACGCTGTCTTGGCACTGAAGCACCTTCTGACAAAATGTGTTGTTTTGCAGATGCGAAAAAAACACCACGTGAAAATACAGCAACGGTGAGTTTCCCCTCTCTGACACCCTGATCTGCTGCGAGGGAGCGTCATGACAGTAGGGTGCAGGAGGGGAGGGTGCTAAGCCTCCCTTTATCAGACCTTCACACGTTTCTCACATCTCATATTTTCCCTGATGTTGCTTGATCTTTTCTGCACCGTTACAACTGTTTTTCTGCACCTGCAGCACAGCCCCCATCACAAAATCAGAACTGCCTGAGGTAGAACAGGATCTCTCTCAAAGATAGCCTGCTCCAAGCAAGGCTATCTTTGATGTTAGATAGGGTTGCCCTAGGCAAGGGGTGTGGAGGGATTTTTCCTCATATGTTCAGCTGGAGTTTCCTCTGTTCCAATTCATGCCCCTTCCCTCTCATCCTTTTGCTGAATGTCACAGCAAAGAGTTTTCTTCCATCTCTCTGCTGCCATTAAGTAGGTGAAGAGACGCCGCATGATCCCAGGTCTGGGCTCCCCTCGTGCCTCCTGTGCTCCAGTCCTGGCTGCTCAGTATCCAACAGCAGTAAAGAAGGGGCTTCTTGCTCGTTACTCCCTTAAAGGCTGGGCAGGCAGGAAGCCAGCCCAGGTGCTGGCATCCCTGGGCACACAGGTCATGGGCAGCTCTGAGCCATACACGGCCCCAGCACTGACCTCAAATCTCCAAGCTCACCGCCTGGCAGATATCACCCGTGTCCTTCCTGCTGCTTTCCATCCCTCTTGCTCTCCTGCTGACRTGCTACAGAAGCAGTCATGGCAGTTGCTTTGAAAGGGGGCTTGTGCTGGGAATGAACAGGACCCCCTAGATGGAGAACAAACCACTCCTGATGTCGTTTCCTTGCTCTGCAGAAAGAGAAGCCGCCTGTCGTGTCTGTGTCCACTGTGGACTACGGTGTGCTGGAATTTCAGAGGGACCAGCACACGCAGGCACCCCCTGAGATGCAGCCAGCTGACCAGACTGAATACGCCACCATCATCTTCCCAGAGGAGAARCCAGTTACACCGGAGCGGGGAAAGAAAAAACAGCACCAGAGAAGTGGTCAGGTGCAGCTACAGCCCTGCTGAGGGGCTGGGATCCCACAGGGCACCTTCTCCCATCCTTGTGCTGCAACAGCCTCCCTGAAAACACCCAGCCAGGAGTGTCCTGCACTGGTGCCCTGTTCAGGCAACTACCTGCCCTGCCACTGCTGTGTCCAGACGGGCACAGCTCCTCCCGCCTTCTTGCTCCAGACAGTTTGCAGCTATGGAAAAATAGCWTGCAGGGACATGCAGAGGTACCTGCTGGTGGAGGCACCTGATGTCCCTCCCAGGCACGGTGGCCATTGTACGAGTACAAGGGAGTGAGAAAAGGTCCCTGCCAACTTGTACTGCTGGCATCCAAAGGCCTTCTAAAGGCAGGGAGCATCAGACAGGGGCAGAACAGGGATGCTGACAGGTGCCTGTACTGAAGATCATGTYTTATCCTTGGTTTTCTGCCTCTACTCATCACTCACTCCCAGCATCTCTCAGGAGCAGCCACGTTGCTTCCTTTGCCTGGGTCCACATCCACTCGCAATACAAAATTTGGGGATAAAAATGCCTCTGAGCGCAGAGGCATGAACTGAAATGACTCCTAAGGAGATGCACTGACACAGTTGCCTCTACCAGCCAGCAAGAGCCTGAACTTACTTGAGCAGAAGAAAGTGGCCCTTGCCACATTGCGCTGCGGACTTGTAGCGCCAGAGCAGAGACTTCCTGCTGCAGACCTATTTAGAGATTTGTGGGAAAGAGACAGTTAGTTTCCTATGTTTCCAGGCAATATCCTCCTCTGGCAGAGGGGGAATCTGCCCATCTGTCCGTGGAGGAAGGCAGCCAGCCCCAGGATGGCGATGCTCTTCCTTGCAGAGCCCTGCGTGAGCCCGGCATCAGTTGGGAGTCACTCATGGTGGCTGCCAGCCCCCGTGAGAGAAGGATCCAACCCAGGTGGGGATGAATAAAGGATTTCACGTCCCGGGTGTTTGTTGACTTGTGATGGCAAGTGCGTGGGCAGGCAAATAACGACTCTCAGCAGCGCTGAGATGAGAGCCGGGAGGCAGCAGTGTCTGTTGTGGTTCCTGGGCCTCTCTGTATGAGAGGCAAGCTGCTCTTCTATGAAGTTACTCTTAATAATTTAGAGAATAAGCTGCTCTTTTTCTCTCCCCMCTGTCTAGGCAGAGGGATATGTGATCCAAGCTGGCTCTGGGTATAGACAGGCACAGACTGGACTTCTCTTGCAGGGCTTATATTGGGGGTTCACCCMTCCTGGCTGGGGACAAGTGTCCCTAGCTTGCCTAATGGCTTTGCTGCCATCACATGTGGCTAACCACACAGTGCCATGTTGAGAGAGCCCTTGGCATGTCCCAGCGCTTTCAGGCTCCTAATTTCCATTTTCCTCTTGAAAGTGGTGCTGGGGACATGCAACCTAACCAAAACCACACAGAAATCAAAACAGAAAGAAGAAACAACTGCTAGAGACTGGAGACACCCTGGGAAAAAGTGGGTTTGGAGGCAGAGACCTACCAGGGAGACCATGAAACCATGCCGAAACAAGCAATAATCACTTGCACTTTACAGCTTAGCAGCATTGTCAGCAAGTTTCTTTTTTTCYCCTCACCTCAGACTAAAACTGGCACAGCCACAAGAGCCAGCTCACACGTTGGGGGAAGATGCAAGGAGAGCAACGCAAAAGAATTTCTCCCCGTGAGAGAATCCAGTTTTGAGGTTTGCCAGCTTACACAGGACAAACATCCATCAGGGTTGGCTTACATCTTTCCTTGGGACGTGACTGTAAGTTTGGTGACATCTTGCAGATTCCTGTGCCCCTCAAAACTTGCAATAGGCACCTCCACTAGTGCTATAACTCATGTAACATTTACTTGGGTCAACGTGCAGCCAAACCCATTGGGACTTTTTGCAAGAGCAAAACCTGCCTGGTGGCTCAGCCCCAAACAACTCTCCCAAMAGTTCTCCTAAAAATCCTCTGCCTTGCTTTTAATAGCCAGCTGGGTTAGATTTGCCTGGTTCATCAGAAAAGCCAAGGCAGAAGAGAGCTGCAGCGAGTGAGAAGTGGGAACTCAGTCAGCAGTTTTGTTTTGGCTTTCCCGTAAGACACGGCGCACGCAAGAGGTGGGTCCTGCTTCACTTTTTCCATCCTGCCTCCCGGGCAGCGGAAGAAATCGGAGATACTGGGTGTKCTGGGCGCGCGGCTGCCGTTTGCTCAGCGTCTTTGCAACACCCCAGCTACAGCCRCAGCCCCTTCTGCTTGTGGCAAAGGGTGGCCTGCGGTTGCTGGGAGTGCCCCGAGCAGCGGGCAGGGCTGGGGCATGGCAAAAGCAGCCCTACCTGTCATTAGAATTGGTTGACCATCTGCCCCACAGCCATGTGTGTGTGCCCAGACCACCTAGGAGCTTGGCTGAGATCCTGCACTTTTAGCTACTGCTTGTTCCCAGGGTGAGCTCCACACAGGATGCAGATTCCAGACCCCCAACTGCACATCCCTAGACCAAGCAGTGCTCCAAGAKGAGTGTCAGCATCTCCATCTCAGCATCCTGCTCTGGGCTGGGGAGCTGAGCATGTGAGCACTCAAGCCAGGAGCAGCAGCTCCCATTTTTGACTCTCCTTCTAGTCTGGTGGTGGTATCTGTTCAGTCTTTTGACCCAAACCCTCCTGCTCTGTGCCTTTGCCCATCTCTGCACTCCTACAACCTGGCAGGGTAATATTTGTACCCTTGGCAATGTTACATCCCTTTTCTTTGCTCTCAAATTAAGCAGGAGCATCTCATTTCCACTTACGATGCTAAGGTGCAGTTAACATCAGATTTTCTTGGAGGGCTAATACATCAACTTCCAAAGTTGATGCTCACCAACTGCTTTGGATTTCACAGCTTACACCAAGAAGTAGCTGGGCTAGGGTGAACCTGAGAGCAGTATGGATCAGGAAACAGCAGATTCTGGTCTTTCTGCCTCAACTGCTTTGCAGTGTTCTGGAGGGCTGGACTCCCCAGAGGTGGATGGCATGGTTTCGGAGGGCTTTGGTTTAGACTGCGGACAGGAGGTCTGTGGCAGAGAAGTTCCCCACTTTCCCACCTATGACTTAGACCTTGCTTCAGCAGCACCACAGCTGCTGGAACTATTCCATGCACGTAAAAATGGCTATCCATAGCAAGGCTAAAAGTAGGGCCTAAGTCTGCTCCTTAGCATCCCACTTCAGAAAAGMTAGGCTAATGACAGTGCAAATGGGAGAAGAACAAGCTTCTGTAAAATTCAATAGCTTCTAGACCTGACTTTTCCTTGCTCTCAGTCCTACATACAAACACATACCTGCAGTCACATACCCACCTTGATGCACGGGTCAACCTTTGGCCAGTCCCAGCTACTCTGCCCACGTGCTGCAGAACGGAAGCTCTTGCAAATATGCAAACAGCTGGTGTGCCACCAAGGTGATGGTTGTGGTCGCTAAAGCTGCTCTCCATTTCCTGTGTACTCTAGTCTGTCAGTTAGTGCAACCGCTTCCAACCACAGATACCCCGAGCTCCCCCGATGAGGGGGACGATGAAAGGGCTACCACCAAAAAGCAACCAAAGTTGCTTTGTCAGCTTCCAGCCTCCTGTGACCAAGTGTCAGCTGGGGTCTCCACCTTGAGAGAGCAGAACTTGCTGACAGCCCCAAASCCAGTCCTACAACAGGGTCTTGCCTACCAGGAGATGGTCAAGTCCTCCAGGGAGACTTCAGGGATCTTCAGCCTGTTTTCCAGGAACATCTGCAGGAAGTTCAATGTGCAACTTTTGTTTGCCTTAGACCTAAGCAAATCGATATCCCAACACACAARCTTAAGAACCAACTGAGCCTTTAGCAAGGAGCTTTATCTCTTTATATACACCTGCCYTTGATTAAAGATGATTTGGGACACCTGTGGGCAACCATTTCTTAAAGTAATCCCAGCCCAAAAGTTTGATTTTGAGAGAACTAGGCAGGAAGGTGAAGTTTTCTTCTGCTGCTTGCATCAATCCCTTTGAGGAGAAATGCGCAGTGACATTGTGAAGAGCTTTTTCTGCAAAATTAGACATTGCATCTGCCTAGAGGAGAATGGCCAGTAGGGTCATGTGTGATAACACCATCCTGTTCATTTTCAAGCCAACATACTGACAGTAGCCCTCTCATGGGAGGCTGGGAGGTTTTGGAGCTGAGCTTTAGTTTTGGTGAGGCTTGGCTGGAGCTTGAGCAGGGTGTGCATGGTATTGGCCTCTCAGGTTTATGGGGTGATCTCTGGGTGGGACTGGTCTGTCAGGTATTTGGGGACGGATACATTTCTATATCCTTGTCTCACTGGGATAGTGCCTGTTGGGCTGCAGACACCTGCTGAGGGTAAGCTGGCACGCACCCCGTGTTTGGTGTCGGTGGGAGGGTGAAGCTCACAGGGAAAGTTGCCAGGCTTGTAAGCATAGCCAGTCTGCACAGTCCTAGAGGGTCTGACCTGTCCAGACCCACTGCATTTCCCCCATCCTTTCCCATAGGGAGTCTTGCCCTCCTGCCTTTCACCTAGCATGCCGTAGGCTTGCAGAACGTTTCCATTTCCTCCCGCGAGCCTCATTTTGCTTTCTCTAGTTTTGCTTTGAGTTGGCTCCATAGTTTCTCATTCTCTTTCTTCCTGCCTTTGGCAGGATCTGCTGTTTGAAGCGGGAAAACAGCCAGGTGGGACTTGCACTGGAGATCTTCTCACTGCTGGCCTCACGGAAGGTGTTACTATGAAGATGATCATGTCTGGAAAGGATTTGGTGGCCACTGCTTGTCCCTAGGGGACATAGGAATCACTTTTAGTGGATGGCAAGATTTGTCATTGATAATGGCAGGCTTGCAGCAGAAGACAGGGGTGCAGAGAGTTGGGGCAGAATGGKAGCCTATGAGGACAAGGACACCCAATTCACCCTCTGCTTCAAGGAAAGGAAAAAAAAAAAAGAGGATCTATGACATCAATTCTTTGATGAGGATTCTATGATTCTATGACCTGAGAAGTAATAAATGAGACAACCAGCCATTAGCACCTAGAGAACCACTGGAAAAAAATAGTAAGACACGAAATCGGTAAACGTAGAGAGACAGCGTTGGGGCTGAGAACTCAGATTTAGCAGGAACAAATAGTGTAAAACCAACCTAATTTCTTTCTCACTAGAGTGACTGGCTGGGTAATGCAGGGAAATCGGGAGCGATACTATCTTCATGCAGCCTTACTTTACATTTTCATAAACAAATGAGAAAATTGGAAATTCTCACACTGTGGGTGGATGGCTACCTATTGAACTGTATCCCAGAAACTGTTGTCAGTGGCTTGCAGGCAGATAATTCATGTTGAGTGTCTCTGGGAAAAGGAAATGCATAGCTCAAATGAGGGCAGAAAGCAATTTAGGAAGGGTGTGGGACCTTCTGGGAAAAGGGCATAAATCACCTCAATGAGCTGCAGAAACTAGCAATGTACCCCCTTCCCAAAGAAATTCCAGAAAGACAAGCACAAAACCTTCATGGTAGTGAAAAAAMAATGTGTGGAGCCAAACCAGGGTATCACTGGCACTGGCCAGGCTCTGAAATGCCAAGCAGTGGGACACGGAGAGGAGCTGTGTGCGCAGTGTTGTTGGGGTGTCACTCGTGGCCCAAGGTCCTGGCTGTAGCACCAGCTTCCCCGTCCCTTGCGGGGCTGCGTCTCTGCCAGGGACCCCAGCAGGGGCCTTGTCAGCAGCGTGGGAACTTCATCTCCAGTGTCTGAGCTCGAAACCTTCCCCGGAGCGCCTGGCCGGCTCACCCAGGGGTGTGCGTTAAAGTCACAAATAATTTCAGGGGATGTGAAAGTGGCAGGGAAATTACCACCCGGCTGCGCTGTGTCTTCGCCTCCTTCAAGCATCACTCCACACCAGGAGAAGTCCCTGCCGGAGTACCGGGATGCAGGGGATGAGCGGGGTGCATCCAGGGACCAGGTTTGTCCCTGTTCCCCACGGAAGCCAGGCCGCATGGGCAGCCACAGGAACGCCTTTATGCCAAGGTGGGTGCTGGCAAGCGGCAAGGCTGGCGCTGCGCCGGCAGGAGCGCGCCGAGTTCAGAGCCCTTTGGTCGCTGTGGGCGGCTCCGGGAAAGTCCCTCGGGTGACAGCAAATCGAAGGCTCTGACAGAGGGAGCAGCGCCGGCTCCTGCTCAGAGATGACTCCAAGGACTCAGCGCAGCCCGAGTCATGATTTGAGTCGTGTTCCCATGACGTAGCAGGGCGCTGATTTCCACGGCAGCAGCCTCTCCGTGGCGGGGCTCAGCTCCGTGCCATGGGCTCCCCGGTGCTGAGGAAGGAGCACGCTGGGGAGACAGCCTTGGTGGAGGGAGGGAGGAAGGAAAGGAAGGAAAGGAAGGAAGGAAGGAAGGAAGGAAGGAAGGAAGGAAGGAAGGAAGGAAGGAAGGAAGGAAGGAAGGGAGGGAGGGAGGGAGGAAGGAAGGGGCTGCCACCACAGGTTCTCCAGATGAAGCCATCAGTTTGCCTGAGAGAAGGACTGCTTCCCTGGGTCCTCCACTAAAAATAGCTCCAGGTGTTTCATACAGATGCATCTGCCACTGAAGCAAATGAGGGAATTAAAATCTTCCTTGACTCAACCTCTTCAGTGTAAATCTGGTCCACTAGAACACGGGGGTCCAAGGAGAAGGGCAGATGCTATACTGCAAATGACTCCATCGTGGTCACCCTGTGCCTAGTGGCTCTCCTGCCYTGGGCCCTGAGACACAGCAGGCAGAGGATGCTAACTATGAAGATCACCACCAGCACTGAGGATTGTATTTCCAATTCCGCCAGGAGCAAATAGCCAAGGCGCCCTGCCAACCTGCAGTCCTTACCTCTGCTCCCAGGGTCTGTAGGGCATCACATGTGGCTGGTGCTGTTTGACACCTCCTTGTCACCGCTGCTGCCAGCTGCTGTGAGCCATTGCTCCGCTCCGCGGAGGTGCCAGGCGCTGTGGCACCATGTGCATCCTCACCTCCCCCTTCCCCTGGACACGGTATCAGCAGGTGACATCCCTCTCTGGCACTGGCTTTAGCTGGGCTGAAATACATGGGTCAGAGCCAACTCTGAATTCGTGGAGTGCTCTTTCTTAACTGAAGCCCTTGAGCGTAACGTCTGGACCAGCTGCAATGTGGGGGCCACCACTGTTCTCACTTGCAGCCACATAAAAATCAGCCTGAGCTTTGACTGGTGGGTGGACAGTTTTGGTCCTTTCCATTTTTTTTTTTTTAATTTCTTTTTTCTGCTTCAGGGTCTGAAATGCATCTGCCTGCCTTGAAATTCTTGGCTGTGAGCACCCTTTGTCCTTCACAACTTCAGGCTATAGTCATGCCATTAAATGATACTCCACCAAGATGTGCCTAACTCCTCACCAGCACAGACACTGGCACCCACTGCCCGTAGCTGTTGTCTGGCACTATTTAATTCACTAACCACTGGTGGCTTCAGCAGGTCTCACTGCCCCCAGCAACGTCTGCCACAGACCAGCTCTAAGGCAGGGCTAAGCTCAGGCTCTGCTGCTTGGGGTCTCCTGGACTTCTGGCCTATAGGTCGAGCTTGAATGACTGCCATGGGGATATGCTGCATTTAGTCATTATGAAGTATCTTCAGTCTGATTCTCAGATCCTTCTGCCCTATTGAAACAGATGTCTTTTATGCTGCAGGATTTATTATCCTACAGTCTTTAAATTAAATGCTTCTGGGATCTTGCCTGAATGTCTGGGATGGGAACTTGCTGCTCTGGAGCTTGACCCAAAGAGCTGAGGTGGCTTCACCCTCAACAGCCACCTGACCCATCTCCTTGGAGGCTGGGCGTGTTCCACCAAGTCAGGAAACGGGGTGATCTCGCGGGGTTGGTACCCACTCTTTGCACAGATTGGTCCCCTCCACAAGCTTCAGGCGAGATGAGATGGTTTGCTTCCCATGACAAGCTGAGGCTTCTTGATCAGACCCCATATCTTCCCCTAATCTCTCTCTCGAAACCAGCTCTCATCTGCACCCCTTCCTAACTTGCTTCCTATCCTGCATTGCTCACCATGGGATGTCTGGAGGGATRTGGTCATCCAGCATCCTGCAGAAGCAACAGTGGGGAGGTCAGACGTTGCCCAGCAGAGAGAGCTGAGGTCCAAAAGAGCTGTGTGCCAGCAGCCCTCGGTGGCTCTGCCAGCTCTCGCCACGGCCCACGCCGGCCTCGCGTTGCTGCTGTGCACCCGGCCTCTTTCAGTTCTGTGTTTGGCACCGGCCTCCCYGACTTTCCACTGCGCAGTTTCATATCAGGCCTCTTCTGCTGGGGTTTGCTGAAAGATCTTGAAAACAGCCCCTGTTCAGGGGCAGCTCTCAAGAGCAATAAGGCCACTTGGGCTTATCAGCTGCTGAGGCTTGCGTTTTTAGTGGGTTTCCCTCCCATTATGCTGTGTGGGGCACAGTCTCTGCTCATTTCCACCAGTTGCCATCATTTCAGTGGTCATGGCCAGCCACAGGAGTCTGACATCATGAGACACTGACTGCAGTGAGGCTGCAGTGAGGTCCTCCCATGCCCATATATCATATGCAGAAACATGTGGGGCTTGGGAAGACCTTGCCTTTGCTTTGGGGGACATTCTGTCTGTCCGACATTGATGCTGTGTCAGCAGAGCCTGTTGGTGCAGGAATCAGGAGAGGGCATCATTGAGCCCAGGGGAGCAAAGGTTCCCCTTCACAAGCACAGCTTGACTTTGAGCCCATGAGGGAGCAAAAGTCCGGGAAAAGAAAGTTACTTGCATGTAGCAGCGCCTAGAAGTTGCTGACCTCGGTCTGGGATCCCTTGGTGGACCCTCATGCCAGCCACTCCTCCAGCTTCAGGAAAGACCATGGAGATCTGGCAGAACATTTTTATGGAGAAGTTGAATAAAAAACATATAACAGAGCCATGGAAACTTCTAGAGGACAACACCATCCAGGTGAACATCCTCAAGCCTCGCTGGACAGAGCACATGCAGCGCTCTGTGTTCGGGAGGTAAGAGACTGGCAGGGGGCTGGCTGACCTGGCTGGTGGATCCATTCCCCTTCATCCCAGCTCGTTAAATGATACTCAACCAAGATGTTGAGGCAGCAGAGGGGCTGCCTTGGCCTTTCTCAGTATTAATTTATAGGAAATGAAAGGGGCAGTCTGGAGGCGGGTGGGGATGGGTGGGGGATTCCCACTGTGTTCCAGACTTGGAAGGCTCATTGCCAAACTGAAGAAAAACACGGTAAATGGAGGGGAGGAGCAGGAGGCATCTCCAGCAGGCTGAAGTGCAGCTTGTACTGGGCCAGAGCTTCTTGTTCTTTCTGCGACACAAATGGTTCCTCCAGCAGGCAAAAGAAGCAAACCTCCATAGCTGACCAATTAATGGATTTCTCCTCCCTTTCCATCTGGRCTCTCTGGGTCAGTTCCGTGCATGGCTGATTCGGGAAGGAAGAYGGACTCCTGGTTTCCCCTGAAGTTTCATGGGAAGCTGTCTCGCCCTGAGGCTTTGTGCCTTCTAGGGTTCTCCATGCACAGTGCTCCCACCTCCAAAACCTCTGGTGCAGCAGGGCAATGCCAGTCACAGAGAAGGGGCTGCAGAGTGTGTACACAGCCCTTCATCCGTGGCACCCTGCGGCCATGCAAGGGAGGACAGGAGGTGCAAAGAAATGCAGGAGTTGTGCTGGGAAGGGATGTAGAGGGATGTTAAGGGAAGATGGATGGCAGAAGATGAGGAGATGGGCAGGACACTCAAGCTGCTGGGACACAGGCCAGGCAGGGATGCTGGGCAGTTTCTGCACCTACACCCTGGCCACAGGATCCTGGAGGGGAGAGTGACCCCAGCTCAGTGATATAGATGCAAAAACCCACCCAAGCTGTTCAGAACAGCAGGCAGGGAGCAGGCAGCAGGAGACAGCAGCGGCTGCTGTGCATGCTCTGAAAGAGAAGCTATGGGTTACACCCCTTTCGACACCCCAGGACGTCTTCTCACCTGCCTGCAGCCTCCGCCCACACCTTCCTTCTATTTTTCTTCTTTAATTTCCACGGGCCCCAGGCTTCGGGCTCGCTTTCCGCTGAGCTGTGCAGTGCAGGCACAGGTGAGACTGGCAGCCATAGCCCCCATGGAGCTGGTTCCTGTTGCTTCCCTCCTCAAGCACCTGGTTCCTGGCACCAGGGCTCAGACAGACTAGGAAAAGGGGATAAGCTGGTCCAAGCAGGCAACCCTGGTCCTAAAATCTTTAATGCTGGGGCCAGCCCTAATCTCACATATATGTTGATCTGGCCAGGCCAGTATTAATGCTGACAGGGGTAGGACAAGCTGTTGGTCAAGTGCAAAGTTGCGCTTTGTGAAACTAATACACGAGCCCTGATGCCTACTGAGTGCACTGGAGGCCACTGGCCCAGCACACGGAGCCAAAGATGAGTTTCTTCTGTCCTTGCCCTGCCAGGTTTCAGTGCTCCAGGTGCTGTCACATCTGGTCATCAGCCAAGGTGCACATCCTGTTCCACATGCGCCGGAGCCGAAGCCGGAGCTCAGGAAGAGTGCGGATGAGAATCTTCCGCCAGGCATGCAGGCAGTGCCCTGGTGGCCTGCTGGAGGAGCCCAGCTTCAGCCAGGAGAGCTTGGCCAGGGTCCTGGAAAATCTGGTGCTAGCGATCCTCCAGGAGTGCTACCATGTACCGGTGCAGGCCTCGGATTTCCTTGAAGTGATTGTGGAAGCGCAGRCAACAGGGCCGCATGAGAGCAGGCGCTGCGAGGCCTGCCAGCTCGGGGTTTGCCAAAGGCCAAGGCCCGTGCCGGCTGCCTCAAAGCGGGTGAAAACGGGCAGCACCCGCGGAGATCAGGGCCCGAGGCAGCAAGTGACCCCGACACGCTGCGTGCCTTCCTTCAGCAGCACCTCGCGCTGGAAGCGTTACTGCTGCGTCGGGGTCTGCTTGCTCTGCGTGTTGGCGTTGCTCCTCTTTCTTACTGTTTATTTCAACATCAACTAGAGCCTTTTGGAGCTTGCAAAGGGAAACCCAGCGTGATGACTATGGGCTTGGGATACTGAGCATTTGGATAAGTGGTTCTCCACAGACACCTGCCCTTTGTCTTTGTTCCCGAGGGAAGTTGGGTGCATCTGATAATTTGCTATGGGACACACGTGGCACAAAGACATCCTTTAGCACTCTGAAGTGAAGGGCATGACAGGCTTACAAGAATAAAATAAGCCTCTCGTTCTTAGCCAAAGGCTGAATCTGTATTTTTTACTTTCTCCAAGCCCTTCCCCAGGTATGTGTGAAMGGCTTGTCTGGAATCTTGGGGCCATCATGATGGGTCAGCTGGGCCGGTCTCAGCATTCAGGGCAGAGGCATCCTACTGCTTCATATTTGCCCTCCCCTGGTTTTGGCCTTGGAGAAATTTGGCTCCCAAAGCAGCTGAAGGGTAGCTAGAGCTGGAGGTTTGCTGCAGACTCACAGGGATCAGGTGCCCATGGATGGTGGTGCTGCTTTGTGTACAGGTGCATCTGYCCCAACCCTGGATGCTGACGGGTGTGCGCTGTGTCCCTGGAGACTCCGTTGGCCTTCAGTAATGCCACGGGATTTCAGGCATGTTGAAAAACACCTGGCAAACACAAAGCCCACCAACTTGACYGTCATTGTGTGGCCAGGCTGCAGCAGCTCTCTGGGGCTTTCCTTMCTCCCTGTGCTGCCTTTGGGAGTTGCTCCACCTCCCCGAGGGACTGGCACTGTGACCATGTTGCAGCCTGGCCACAGCTCTCGTCCCTGGCAGGCATGTTTCCAGGCCACGTTTCCTTCTAGGGGTGCAAACCAATCACTCTGCCAAAGGGAATTGCCTCCTCGTACTGTTTATCTTGGTGTTACCCTGCACAATTGTGCAAAGGTGAACTAAAGCTAAAACAAAATCAGGCAGTAGTCACCTGACTGCTTAGTAATTGCTCTCACTTCCATAAAAATTGAAAATCAGATCAAGCCAGGACAAGTCCAACAAGTCGTGAGGCCCTACCCTGCCAGGTCAATAAAAAAGCCTTTTGCAAGTCATGGCAAAATTGTATTTATGGGCTACAGAGTCTGGGCAAAGGAGAGGCTACTGATTCCTAAATGCTGCTCTTCACCCTGCGAAGCTCAGGGAAGATRTCACAGAGATGGTAGGAAATCTGCTGCCCCTCCAGCAGCCTGATGCTCCTCAACCCGGAGCAGAGCTGCTCAACCTGGACTCYTCAGTTCCTGCAGCAGAGCTGCTGGGCTCCTGCACAATGGCCCCATGGGGATGGCATGTCCTAGAAAACCTCGGGTTAATTGCCCCGTGCTGTTGGACACCTTTGTGCAGCCTCATCATGCTTTGCTTTCCCTGACTGTAAGACAGGGATTCCAGCAGGGCACTCGACTCCTGCAACACTGAGGTCCAAGAGTTAGAGCTTGCCATACGACCGAGGCTGATGTCCTGCTTGTGGCAAGGCACCAAGGCTATTGCTTTTGCTTGTCTCGGATAATCCCGCTGGGAATGTTTTGCCAAGGGGAGAAAAAGCAGGTCAGATCCTATCTTTAATGCCAGCCAGCCTCTCTCTGCTGGGAAATGAACAGCCCAGGTCTGAGCAAAGGCATCCTGACTTCCTCAACTCTGACTTTGCAAATGATTTGATGCTAAAATTGGATGTGGTAGAAAAAAAAGACATGATTTTGTGGGTGGATTAACTGAAGAAAGATGAGTGGATGGAAACAAGTTAGCCAAATCCAGGATCCTCGATGTAACTTCTACGGAGTCAACCTGTGGCTCACACAACCCACGTGCTCTCTTGTCTATCTCTGTCATAGTCCTTTATTACTTACTTGGGATTTGCTTCATCCTCACCTTGTTGGTGTCAAAATCGCCTTTATTTTCATATGTAAAATCTGAAAGTTAAGAGATTTAAAAAAAAAAAAAATCAAGAAAACCCTGTATGATGCACGGTCCATGTTGATTTTGCTTCCTAAGTAGCCCATCMTGCTCATCCCATCATCCCAATGACTCTCCTCCCTCCCCAGAGCCTTCCCTCCTCCCTTGTGGATCCAGCAGATGGAGCTGCGAGATCTCTGGATCCCAGCTCCAGCGTTGAACTGGGACCAGCRACTGGCCAGCACTGGGATATAGTACCAGCCCTCCCCGTGTTCAGGGTGTCCTATCCTTATCCTTGCGAGGATCACCRCAGCAACCTCTAGGCAAACCCTCTGGGGACATTTTTCCTGTAAGGATAGAAAACACCAAACCTGGATTCAGAGACTTTATGACCACTGCAGTGACACCCCCAAAACAGATATTACTTGAGCAACACCCAGCCTTCAGGAAGAGGGTGCAGACTCCATAAGCAGTTTAAAGGCATGGGGATCTCCATGGGAATGACTGCAAAGAGGCTGGAGATCGTGCGCCATCCTGTGCCTGGGCAGAATATCTCTCCTGCTCTCTGTCAGCATCGTGTCATGAAGGCAGAGATAGGGCCAAGGTTCTTGCTGCTCTTGCCTGCAGCCTTCTTTTTTTTCCACACTGAGGTTTTCCCAGCCCTACTCCATCATTTCTGGCCACATGCAGCCTCCCAAGCCACCCAGCAGCTGAGGGCAACTCCCTCTCTCAGGTGGAGACCTCATCTCTGCTGGGGTCCTTGGTTTTTTGTCTGTCTCTCTCTGCTCTTTCAGCAGGATAGAGCCACCTCTCCGCCTGCTTGATGCCCTTCCCACCCATCCTGAGCTTTTCCACCTACATTCTCTCCTGCAGATGCTGCTTTCCCCCAGGTCTCCGCTCCAAAGTCTGTCTCCCGCATTCCGTATGTTGGGGGGCTCCTCTGTTCTTTGCTCCGTTCCCCGTGCATGTGTGGCTGCCTCGGCTCCTTCCAGCTCAGCCTAYTCTGGTGTTCAGCTCTGCTGTTTTCGCAAGCGTTTTCTAGCAGRCCGCGCTAGGAGCAAAGCTCTTCTTGCCTCTTGGTTCTTTTGGAGCCTGGAGCGGAACCCYGCAGCTCAGTGCTGTGTGTGGGGCTGCTGTGGCTTGTGGCTGGGCTGCCTGGCAAGTGCAGCAGCGCAGACACAGCACGCGGGGCTCAGCCCCAAGGGCCTTGGGCAGGCGGTGGCTGCGCTGCTCTGCTGCCAAGTCTCCGCTCACTCCTGGCACTAATGTCTGGCCAGGGATAGGCAGACCTTACCCAGGGGGTGCTTCCCTGCTCTTTCATTGCGGTCAGACTCACGCATTGCTGTCTCCATTCTTGTCTTGAAGAGCGGCTCTCACTGTGCTGGCAGGCTGCAAGGCACCAGCAAATGCAGGCTCTGCTGTTCTCCTGTTCCTCATCTGCTCTCCGTTCCTGGCCCTCCCTGCAAGGAGCAGCAGTGACCGCAGAGGTGCAGGGGGAAGGGTCTTGGTAGCCTGGCTGGTTGGAGAGCAGGGCATGGGGGCTGCACTGACTGGGGATTTCACTGCWGAGCTAATGAAGGGAGGAGAAGGAAAGTATTTATGAGTGATCCCTTCTGGGGCTGCAACATTTCCTAACATGCCTGGGAGCTGTCTAAGCCCAGATCCTACAGCTGATGGTTTAATACCCAAGGGACGTGCTTTGCTTTTGGTTTTGCTTTCTCCTCCCCTTCATCCTTCTGAAGYCTTTCGGCCTCCTAGGAATGAGCCAGGCCACGCGCCCTCCACCCTGCTGCCCGCTGAGAGCCCAGAGGAATCCGGTGGAGATCAGTGAAGTTATTTCAGATCTGTGTCCTAGGAAAATGGAGCTCAGGAACCCAGCTCCAAGTGCTGGGTCCTGGCACATGGAAGAAAAGAGTTCCCATGGTTTTAAGCTCTCTCCAAGGGCGGCATTCTCACAGCCGGTGATGTGGAGAAGAGATCACCAGCAGAGCTGTGTCCCTGCCTCAACCTCCATCTGTGCTCGCCGGTCGAAGCAAAGCTGATTTGCTGTCATTAGCAAAGAAGCTGCTCTGCAGCAAAGACACCCCTCAGCCCATGCTCAGTGCCCTGSCAGTTCTCCCCTTCTCGGCAAGCCCTGGGCTGCTGCTGGGTCGCTGGTAGCCACCGTTCCTCATCCTGGCTCGAGCAGGGATGAAGAGCACGGGGCAGTGGTTAGACATGGCACGAAGTTTGACTTCATGACACAGAGCATGTCATCAGTCATGGCTCTGTGGAGCTCTGTGGAGCTTGGCACAGGCATCGCTGCATGGGCTCCTTGCAAGGCAAGCTGTGTTCCAGCCAGCAAAAGGGTTGAGCTTGAGTCGTGCCTTGAGTCCTTGCTGGCACCCTGGGGTCTGGTGGCTGCAGTGATCCCACAGTGTCCCAGTGTAACTGCTGTGTCAGTCTGGCACAGGGCTTGAAATGGCARTTTGCTCAGCCCATGAAAACTGGAGATGGAGAAGAGCCAACAGACTGTCTCCAGCAGAATTTAGCCCTGGAAAGAAGCTCGTCTGGAGCTCAGATCTGTTCTGTCAGCTTTGTGGAACAGGAAGTTTGATGGAGGAGAGTGATGGGGTCATGGGCCCGTCTGGAAGGGCCACTGACACAGAGCACAGACAGAGGCAGCCTTGGAAGCAACTAGGGCTCCACAGTGTCCCAGCAGCAGGAGGAGATGGACAGGGATTAGGGACACCCATGTGAAGCAATGAGCTTGCCTTGTCTTCCTGATTCTCCCCATCCAGCCTCTCCTGCTTTCTCGGAGATCACACCCTGTCTTCTCTGGATAACTGTTGGCAGCAAGAAACCAGGTCACCTGCAGCCTTTTACTGAGAAGTGCCACCACCCCTGGCAGGGTTTATAGAGCAGCTGGCATGACACGTTGTGTCATGCACCAGACCCTGCTTTCCCCAAAGCCTCTCTTATTCACTTGAATCAATAGTTCTAACAAAAGCTACCTGCCCAGTTAAACTTTGCACTGCCTTGTTCACCGTGGAAAGCTGACCTATTTCTCTTCTGGACTCTTCTGAACACAGCGGTGTCAGTGCTCCCACGTCACAGCTGGGCAGTGTGGCTGAGCACAGCGATAGTCTTTGCCCAGGGTTCAGTCACAGCGCATTGACTTTTCAGTGAAATTCCTCTGCTCAGCCCTGCAGAGCTCTCCTGGGGAAGGGCTGCCCAGACCTGGAGTGTGGGAGCTGGTCATTTAGCTGTGAGCATCTTCAGCACTTTTCAAACCACTATCTCTCCTTAACGCTGAGCCTCGTGCAGGGAATCATCCCACCACTGCGATGCCCTGCCAGGGCCACGCTCGGTACCAGGCTGTACATTGCCTCCCTCCCTCAGGGTACTGAGGAGTTTGGCACTGCTGTAACTGGGCAGAAAGGATGGCATTAAGCCATGCGAGTTGCAGAATTGCACAGACTAGATCTCTGGAAAAGCCCCTTTTGGACAAGACTTGCTCCCTTGCCACTGCTGCCTTCYTTCACAGAGGACACAACACAACATGACAATGTCCTGTGGTGTATGCAGGGGGTTAAACTCTCTTAAAGAGGGGGCTGAGTTCTCCATGGGGTGCATGCACAGGTGGCACTGGATTGTTTTTGTGTTTTTTTTTTCACCATCCTCCAGTTTAGTGAGAAGAGAAGGTTTTGGGGAATGCMTAGGTCTGTTTGTGTAGGTCAGGGCTCTGGAGCTGACTGCAAGCGGGTCTCACCTCTCCCATGTTTTCAGTGCTGTGCTGTCCGGCCTTTGTAGCAGACATGGCAAGGATGTGTAAGACACAGAGCTGAGCTCAGCACAGRCCACAGGTAGAGAGGAGGCTCACAGACAGACAGCAAATGCCACAGGGAAGGAGCAAGACAGACACTCATGACCAGCCTTTGCCCTTAGCCCCTAAATACCTTCTGTGTAGACTGCAGGCCTCAGAACACGAAATCATAACATACCAAAGTTTTATTTTATCATCAGGAGAAAGGTTACCCAGAACCACTCCTATACGATATCAGGTACTTTACAGAATATAATATCAAAAATGAAAAAACAAAACAAATAAAAAACCTTGGAGTTACACAGCATAGCCATGAGTACAGTTCTTAGCATGTCTTTAAGTTAGACCTGTTCCTTCATCCTCCTGCTTCTCTTCATTCTCTACAAATGACTTTTTGAATGTCAGGCTAAATAGCACAGTAACTCATTCACTTTTGTGCATGACAAAGCTGAAGGAAGAGGAGGACAGGTCCAAAGGAGACTAAATGGATGTAGGAAGGAGAGCAGACACATTCTTTTATGTTGCTGACAGCTATAGAAGGCATTTACTGGCAAGTGGAGATGTCCCTGCTGAAGGAAACTGTGTTCACCTGACTTTGTTCCTTGGCAAGGTTTACTGCTTTTATAAAGGAAGATGGGGGAGATATGAATTGTTACACTACCTTGGCAAAGTGGGCTGAGTCTGGCCCTGGAGCGATTCAAACACCCATAATCCACCAAAAGAGCCACAGCTGAACTCTGGACATCATGAGTAACCTGTAAACTCGCCAGGTCAAGGGTTTTAAAAGCAACCAGAAGGAACTTGATTCCTGAGACAGTGGATGAATTGCCATGCAAGACTGCCCAGAACCCCTAGAAGAGGTTAAATATCAAGGAATGGCTACAGATGGATTGGCTTCATTCCTGTAACTCTCAGTGGCAATAAGTCCATTTGCTCTGAAATGCTTCTGCTGTGAATAAATGTTTGTTATGTACATTTTTCCAGGCGTGCCAGATGTGCTGCTGTCTTGTGTATTGGAAATCTTTCCTTAGGAGGTCTACTGTGGCTGGAAACCACCCTCAGATCTGGTCTGAAGGGAGGACTGGAGAGCACTTGAGGTAATGGAGATGATGAATACGGAAGGGAGGCAAGAAGGTGGGGGCTGGATATGAGGATGAAACTGAGGTCAATCTCTGCTTCCCATCCCTGTGCCCTTTGTGGTGTGCCCACCCGAACATGGTAGGTAGAGTTCTCCACTGGGTTGGTGCTGTCTCGGCAGCATGATGACATAATATCTGCTTGAAGCCATGGCTGAAGGTTAATATGGAAACATCCTGATGTCCCCAGGGACATTTGTTTGCAGATAAAATACTGGCAACCGTCCAGTGCTGTCTCACTACTCCTCACATGAAAATGATGTCACGCAGTGTAGGGGACCCGTGAGGCCCAGGCCTGCTCTGCTGGGTTTTCCACATTGTCCTCAGCCCTTGTTGTTCCTGCAGTTACCTTTTCTGATGAGAAGAACTAGTGTGAGAGCTTAGGGTGTGGGGGAAATACTCTGTGCACAGGCAAGGCTTAGGGCCTCCTCCATCACTGTGCCTTTGTCATGGCTTGGAGGCAGTCTCTCCGGGAGTGTGGGTAAGCTTTGGAGCTCAGCAGTATGAGCTAAGGAAACTGGCTGAAATCTAGCCCTTTGCTGCCCTTCCCCAGCTCCCTAGCAAACATTTCCAAAGAGCACAAGCAAAGGGATGTAGGACCAAGTGAAACACATGACGGGGAGGGCTGGCAAGGCCTGGAGTGTGGCTGAGCATCGTGGCTACTGCTTGCGAAAGACCAATCTGGAGCATATTAGAAAACAAACAAAAAACAACAAAGCAGCAGCAGCAGCAAGCTGCTTCGTCATTCATCTCTCCAGCTCAGGGTCCAGAAATGTCCACCTCTCAGAAGAGCCTGTTTTCTTCTCCACCCAGTCCACATAGTTGGAGACTTTGGTGTAGACACCATACACCTGCTTGCTGCCGCACTCCTCTGGGCCACCCCATGAAACCAGCCCTTGGGCTACCCACCTGTGGGTCCCCGGGTCCTGAATGACAAAGGCTCCCCCACTGTCTCCCAAGCAAGTGTCCTTCCCACCTTCATAGTATCCAGCRCAGAACATGTTCTCGGTCACACTGTAGTTCCCCGACCGGGACTCGTAGCTGGTCTTGCACTCTGCGTGGAGCACCACTGGGAGTTTGACATACTGCAGGATATCGGACAGTGTCCTCATGCCTGAACTGATAATCTCATCCACAGTGATGTTGGGGTTGGAGATACCCCAGCCAGCCACCAGCCCCAATGTGTTGGGATGAGGCCCCTCCAGCTCGTGCTCAAACTGAGGCAGGCAGACAGGCATGACGTAGTTCCCCATGGTCACTTTCTCCTTCAGCTTGACCAGAGCGATATCGTGGTTGTAATTCTGGATGTCAAACTCCTCATGGAGGATGATCCTCTCTACTGTCCGGTTGACAGCATCCATCTTGTTCCTCACRTCATGGAGGGCAAGATAGACGGTGACATGTTCCTTGGAGACGGGGATAATGGTCTTGTCACGTCGCTGTGAGCGGAGCACATGGGCAGCTGTTAGCACCCAGGAGTCTGAGAGCAGGGCCCCGCTGCCAAACCATTTGTCATTGGGCACCCGGGACATGTCCTCCACTACAATGAGGGCCTGCCAGGGGAAGAAGCCAGGCTCTGCGTTTCGCCCACCAATGATGCGCTTGATGATCCCAGGCAGAGCACGAGCTGGCCGACCACACACTGGAACCAAAGGGACAAGACAGTTACTCTCAGATGAGCAAGGGAAGAGCTGAGAAGCGACATCCCTATAGATTGTATCGCATGGATGGTTGTCTTCATAACCAAATGCTCATTTTTTGTCTTTTCTCTCTGTAGAGAACAACTCTCCTCCCTTTCCYGGTGAATAAAGCCTATCCTCTCTGCCATCCTCACCTCTCTTGGCACAGCACAATTAAGATCTTGAAGAAGACTGGGCACTGCACCTCATCCCCTATGCAAACAGGTCCATGGAAGTATGTCTGGAAAGGGAACATGCCTGTCCTTCTTCAAGGTTTTGCTTCCTAAAGGCTGCCCCGACTTCGCTTCGTGTTTCCCTTGCCTGGTGGGACCATTTCTGTTGTCCATGGTTTGGAAAGGGGCAGTCTATTAATCCTCCATTAGGGCAAGGGGGTGACATCTGTAGACCCTGTGCAACCCTCACTGAAGCTACTCAAGCAAAAAGAGGTAGGTTTTTCTGCRTGCCTTTTGGAGCATGGAACCTATTTGTTGGCTCATAGACGAAGGACAGCAGGGATCTACTCTACAAGCACACCAAGAATTTGATATCAAGGTTATCCCATGTTTTCTGTGGTTGTGGATAATGAGGCATAGAGTAAGGAAGTGCGCTGCCTGGTTTGCCTCTGAGCATCTTAGCCAGGCCCTGGCGTGGAGGAGAGGAGGATCTCAGCATGTCCAAGGTAGCTCCGAGAGGGTTGCGGGGGGCAGGCTGGACAGTGACAGGGAAGGTCACTGCTCTTCCATAGCCAGAAGAGCTCCTGAATCCCAGCAGGGATTTTGCAGCCATATCCCTGCTGGGAGGCAGGCAGAAGGGAAGCAAGAGGAGCACTCTCATCCATCTTGGCCCACAAAGCCRGCCCCAATGCCCACTGTGCTCCCTTGCCAGGGACATGGGATTGCAGAGCCACACAGCAAAGAGAGCCTGTCCCCCTGGCGTYGGGGCTGCGGGCCAGCCTTGCAGGAGCTCACAGTGACTTCTTGTGTCTGGGAAAGCTGAAACTCCCACACTGGGCATGGGAGTTGCCTCTCCATGCAGTTAGCTCCAATGCCTTTCCCAGTGCTGTAGGGAGCAGGAACCGCACTCAGGCAAATAATTCCTGTGTCGCAGCCCAGCCCAGCTGCTCTGCTGCACCRAGCTGAGAGCCATCCCAGTGAGATGATTTTAAAGGAAGCACATCCAGCCAAATATTTATTCTATTAAATTACATATCAAAAACGCTGACCAGGCTGCAAATGCTCCCACTAATGGCATAGGCAGACGCAGAGTGGCCTGGAAGAGGACTTTCTACTGATAGGCAGGCAGCGTGAGACATGAGAAGATCTGAAGAGCAGCTGGCCAGCTGCTGCCTGCAGATCCCAATCTCAGGAGAACGTCACCCTCTCTCTGGGATTTTCCATTTTCCTGAAGTCTCTCTGACTTCTGTCACTAATCAGGAGGTCTGGAAATGGCCCATGAAAGYAACCATAGCCCTAAAAGATGTCCCCATATGCTCCCAGCTCAAATTATTTCAGGCTGAAGCTTTAAGGACGGATGCAGGGAGCAGCTGCTGCAACAAGAGCAACCGCAAGTCTGGTTTCTGAGCTCCATAGGCACTGGGGTGTTTCTTGGGATCCTTCCATGGCCTTCGGATCATGTAACAGAGCTGGACACCCTGCAGCACCAGGTCTTTGTGCCTGGGTGTGCGGGATGCTGCGGTTGCTGTGCAGTGGCTGAGCCCCTGCACCTCTGCAGAGCAGCATCACGGCACATCAGACCTCAGCGAGTGTAACCCGCACCCAAAGCTGCTGCCAGCTCCCCGCCCCGCCTGGCAGCCAGAGCGGCCCCACGCTCAGCTGGGGCCAGCCAATGTCCCGAGGACTTTTGTTTGATCCCAAATGGGCGCCTGGCCTGGAAACTTGCTGGCTGCAAACATTTCTACCACTGCTCAAAGGCTCGAGACTTCTCCTCCCTCGTGAACTGGGGTTTCCTGCAAGGCTTGGAGAGGTGCTAATTAGTGCTGAATGTGGGCACACTGCTAATGGGAGCTGACAGGTAGTGATGCTCTGCCCTTGGCTGCATGGCACACGCCAGCTCTGGTGGCACAGGGCTGACTGCGGCCAGCGGGCTCTGCTCCGGCTGCTGCGGCTGGAGCAGGGGGCTGGAGCAGCCAGGACAGTTGGGATGTCTGCAGCATCCCTGCTGCCTGAGCCTTTATCCCACACAGCAATGGCTTTGTCATGCTGCTCAGAGACACGCTCTGCACCCTGGCCATTGCAGCCAGCACCCAGCAAGCCAGGATAGCAGGAGGCCTGTGTCCCCATCACTCTCTCGGCCATACATTGCAACCAGAGGCAGCRTAGATATAGCCCATGCTCTGCAGTACTGCTGTACCATATGGAACCCAGAGCAGGATCCTTGTCTAGAGAAGCACCAGGCCATGTCAGGCACAGATGTCTCTGCATCTCCCCTCCGCACCCATCCCTGTGGGACCAGGCACCCTCCTCTCACCCCAGCCCCTGGTACCTGGTTGGCAGGACGGCAGCCTGGTGCCCAGCTCCTCGCTCCTCCACACTCCTGATGCATCACACGTGTAGGTGGCTGGAAGAGAGCAAAGTGTTAGCTGGGCTGTGCAACAAGGAGACCCTGACCACCTATCAGGACACTCTGAACACTTTCCAAGAACAGGATGTGATTTTCCTGTAATGTCCTATGTGCTCCTTTCTTTGCGGGGTCCTGACAGTCCTGTCTCTGTGTGCAGGGAGGGATATGCAGCYACAGTTGGTGTCACTGCCCTGTGTCCTCTGGAGGGCTGTGCTCTGCCTTCAGCCTTTCCTGGGAGCTGCTGTCCCATTACTGCTGCCAGTGCTCCATGTGCTAATGAGTGCCTGATGCTTGGGACCAGATGCACAGAGCCAGGGGGTCTGCAGGGGGATATGACCAGGGACACTGGAATGGGAGGAAATCCTTTGGCTTTACTTGCTGAGGGAGGAGGAGGAGGAAGGAGCACTGGATCCTGCACTTGRGCTCCAAGCCACTCCTGTTGCCAGAGCAGGGTTCAAAGGGTGCTGTGGCTTTGCAAAACACCTTGTGGTGTTTCTGTGGTTGTGGACTAGATCGGACACACGGAAACTCAGCCTGCTGTTCACGATCACACACCGATGTGCGCCCACCCGCCCTGTGCCGGGGCACACAGCCTTGCTCCTCTGCTCACCCGTGCTGTTGGGTGCCATGTGGTAATAAGGGTGCTGGCAGTGGTACTGGATGCTGGCCCCGTAGGTGGTCAGGTTGTTCCTGGAGGAGAAGGTGACATAGCCGTGCTCCAGCTCCGGTGGTGCTTTACAGTCGGCAACTGAAAGTCAACACAGAAGGGAGGCTCATTCTCAGSGCAGGTAGTGCTGGGCTTTAGCACAGAGCAGTGGTCCTGCAGGGAGGCCCAGGGAGCCCAGCATCCACCGTCTAGGGAGCTGCAGAGAGTACAACTTAACAGCTTCCCTCCTTCTACAATGTAGTCCATCTCAGCTGGCAGCTGGGACAGGCCAGCTTGGCTGCAAGCAATGAAGGGACCATCTAACCCCCTGCTCCTCTATTGTCTTCATTGTCTGGGCTACTTCTGCACCCAGGGAGTCCCCACAGCCCACTCTGTGTATTGCCTGGAAAGGCTTGGGGCTCSCTGAGGTCTAGGGCTGCTCCTTCTCCACCTCTGCTGCCTCTTGAGGGCTTGGGAGTCACCACTGGCCTGCTGCAGAGGAGCAGAACCATGCAGGAGGACGGGGAAAGCCTCACGCTGTGACTTGGCATAATTAAAGGTTTTGCCTCTCCTGTCTGTCCTAGGCAGCAAGATCAGCCTCCTCTCCGATCTCTGGGAAGGTGGGGGAGGAAAGCCCAGTCCTGCTGAAGTCCAGAGATGCATTTCTAAGCGACATCCTTCTTCTCTAAGCCCCTTCCCYTGCCTCCCTCTCCATTGCATTATCCCTAGCCAGGCTTCTCTGTCCTTGCTGTCTGTCCCCCACCCCACCCCAGACAGGGCAGCACCTCCCTCACTGCTTGACCCCATAGAACCCATCACTGCCCTCCTGCAGAGATGTGGAATGGAGGCAGCACYGCCAAGGACAGGACCAGCAGCATCGCACAGACTGCATCTGACACCGYTCATGCTGGAGCTTCTCCCGAGCCCTGCATTAGTGTGAGATCTATCTGTTGTACCTTTGAGAAGGGAAGAAAGTATAGAGGCAGGTTAGATCCTCGGCGGGATATTCTGGGAATCTGGGAGGACTTTGTATCACCTACTAATGGACAGGAAAAAGCACCCAGGTGTTGAAGGGGAGTGTGTAGCTTGGCTGGTCTGCAGAAGCAGGAGGGGGAATGAGTGGACATGGGGAAGACCCTACATGCTCCATCCCAAGGATATGGGCAGATTTGGCTCTGCTTCACCCACCCTGTTGTGAGCTCAGGGCCTGGTGAAGGCAGAAGGATTTCTAGGTGCTGTTGCCTTTCCCATGTCCTGTCCATGGTATCCTTCTCCCCCCAAATCCTTCACAGAGCTCTCCCCAGCCTCTCCCCCAACACTGTCCCCTCAATCAGACTTGTGCCACCCACCCCAAGAAGGATCCCCCACGGGCAAGATTGTTCTGCCACAATCAGGAATTACCTCGTGGGAGTCCCGGGAGCTGCTGACCGCCTGTGGTGTGGGTGAGAGGCAGTGTGTGCTYGCATGATGCTGTGCAGGGCTCCCATCCCAAAGCACCTGCTCCTTTCAACATGAGGGATTTAATAGGTGATGGGCTGGGGCCTTTTCAGGGAGCAGATTCTATGGGCCAGGAATGATGCAGAGTCTGGGGGCATCTTCTATGTTCAAGAGGACCAGGAGATTTTAAAAAGGACAGTGTGCTGAGGGCAGGAGCCCTAACTCGTCACTCACGGACCAAGATTGACCGTGAGAGAATTAGCTAGAAGCAGCTGCTAGAGCAGCAGGTGATGGGAGAGGGCTGTGCGGGTGCAGTGCAGCTGGGAGRAGGCTCTGGGTACCCGGGACTTGCAGAGAGGCAGAGGAGCGGAACACAGACCCACCAGGGCCCCTGGGTCCCCATCTGCCTTGAGTTTTCCYGCACTCTTCCCATGGTACTTGGGAGCACGATGGTTTGGACTGTGGTTCCAGCCACTGCAGGAGCTATAAGATGCTGAGGTATGCTGGGGTGTGCAGGAAGGAGGAGATCGATGCTTGGGGACCACTGCAGCTTGTGAGTGTGCTCTGGGGCTGTTTTTGGCTGCAGGGGGCTGGTTCACGGATGCACTTGGCTTGCTCCCCCTTTGTGCACCGTGGGCCTGAGGGAGGCCTGAAGCCTGGAAAATGGTCACTTGCATGGACATGCTGGCTCCGTTCTTACCCTGTTATGTCCAGGGACTTGCCCAATAAGGGCAATAAGGGGAGCAAGTTCGAGCCTTCAGGCCATTCCAGACTTTCACCTTGGGAAAGTGGGTGTTTCACGCCAAGCTCCCCAGCGTACATCCATCCCTCCTCTTCCATTTGCCAGGCCGCATCCCAGTCCCTCCCAGTGAGGCCCCCCGACGGACTCCATGGTGCAAGCCCTGAGAGCGCTGGGACACGGGTGAGGTCAGACTCGTGGCTTTGATCTCCTCCGGCTGTGGGTGGCCTGGTGCCAGCTCACACTTCCCGCTGCCAGGCCAGCAGCGGGGAGCAAAGGGGGAGCCGGGAAGAGCAACCTCCCGTGCCCTGGTGCTCAAAGGCACGCAGCCTCTGGTGCCAGCCCGTCCTCTGGGCCTCCCGCGTGYGCGGGGAAGGTCTGTGAGGCGCCAGGACGCTCGGGGCGAGGAGAGGAAGGAGTGTTTCTTATTTGTGACGCTGGGCCAGGGAGGAAGGGCAAGAGGAGGCTAAATCCAAACAACCAAACAAGCGGGCAGCCGTGCGCCCGTGGGCTCTGCCTTGCGCAACGCGGCCTCTGAGGGGAGGCAGAGCTGGGCCGCGGTGTCCGAGTGGAGCTGCAGGGGCGCAGAGGACGTGGCAGGAGGTCCTGGGAGCACCTGGGCCCATCTTTGCAGGACAGAGAGAAAAGGGGGTTCGACTCCAAACTTCTTTCCCCRCTCTGGAGCCGGAGTTAAGGAAGCAGCAGAGGTGGAGGGGTTAAGAGCGCCATGCCAGTTAGACAAGCCGCAGAGGTGGATTTGGCAGCCGGGCCTGAGACAAAGGGAACCTGCCCTGGATCCCGGACAGATGGGAGAGGGGAACCGAGACAGGCTGCCGTCTCGGCGGGGCGGCCAGCACGAGCCTCACGCCGCCACTTGCTCCGAACTGGCTCTTCTCTCTGTCTGGTTGTCGGCTCTATCTGCAGCTGYGCCGAAGGCAGAAGGGAAGGAGGAAAGCAGAGAGAGAGAAAGCCAAATTAGTAGATGAGCGGAGAGAGGCATGCAGGAAACCCGACCCCCAAAACACCAGAAATCGTTAATGAGCAACCCTGTCACCCCAGAAATGCAGCTGCAATGGGCCCCGAGCTGTGGTGCTCCAGTACCAGGAATCCTCTCCAGTTCCTCCACCACAGCAACCTGGGGCAGTGGCTGGACAAGCCGTCAGGGGGTTGGTGCTTTCTCTCATTGAACTGCAGAGCTGGATTTTATCCAGCTTGGCAGAAAATTTATCTTTATTTTTTTTGTTTCTTTCCAAACTATTTTTGCTCATGCTTTGCCTCTTGCAGATGCTCAGGGGAGGTGGGAGGCACCACAGCTTGAAGGCCTGAATTGCCCAGTTAGGGGCTTTTTAACTTTCCAAAAAAGCCCTGGAATTTTAGTGTTGTGATTCCTATCATACAAGAAAGGAGCAGTTCCAGCCTGCCTGGAATCATGTAGGTAAACATTTCAATTATCCTTAAAAAAYAATGCTTTTGGGGTTAAGACTATTTATGTCGGTTTTTAGATTTTTATCCTTTTTTTTTTTCCTAGAAATTGTAATTTTTAACTGATCTCTGCTCAAGCAGAGAGCTGGACAAAATCCATGGGAGACTTCTGTAGTGAGGGCAGTATGACTGGGCAGTTCCCTTTGCCAGGCAGAGACATCCCTGACCCCATAGTTTGCAAGAGGCCCTTTCAGATATGAAATTATTTAGCAAGTCTAAATGCCTCCTACTTTGCATTTTGAGTGAGTAAACATGAATTAAATCTCCAGAAATACTCTCCTAAAYTGGGGTCCTCAGCATCACTAAAATATAAAGAATCTGCCCAGATGGGAAGAGTCTGAATCCCACAGGCTTTGAGTGCATCTATTCCTGCCTCTCTTTGAAGGTCTTGCATTTCTCTTCTCTGGATCAGCCTTACAGTAGATTGTGAAGATAGGAGTGAGTGCCTCCCCAAGGCTGAAGGACAGCAGCATGTGTTTGGGGAAAAGAAAGAAGTGTTCTAGGTGTTGAAGTGTTACTAAGTACTTGAAAAGCACATCTCCCAAGCCCAAGCTAGGAGATGAACTATGTTAGATGAAAGAAGAGATAATGCAAATCCTTTCGACAGGAATCTCCTTTCTTTTATCCCTTTCCTCTTTTTGAGTTTTGTAAAAATCTGGGCAATTTTTCTCAACCCTTTCACTTAGCACATGGTTTGAGCCAGGATCTGGGACCTCTCCAATGCCTTTGATCACACTGGGCCCATTTGCAAGGAAGTTCTGACTAAGAACGAGATTATCAGGGTCCTAGATTTGTCTAAAAGGTGGACAAAACTCTCTCATTCACCTGATATTGACTATCATCCCCCTCTCTCCCTTCAGCAGGGGCCATTCATTAATCACACAGGGGCAGTTTGATGTAAGCCGTGCCCAGATTTTGCAGTCAAAAAGGCTCTGAGGGAGCCCTGGTCAATGCTAAAGCTCTCAGGCTTTTTAAATGGGAAGGAGTCTGCCTAGACTTGAGAATTGGAATCAGCTCCCCACAAAGCCCCCATGACCTGAGCATCCTTCCCACCATGGTGGACCCATCTCAGATAACGCTCCTTCTCATCTCACTGTTGGAGAGACYGGAGCTGTCTCTAAAGAGCCAGAGTTGCTCTTTTAGACAGTGAGACAGTAAAGCTCGTCACAAATCAAGTTATATGAGCAGTCTAAAGACAGCAACAAACCCCTTGCCTGTGGCATTTGGACCAAGCCCCGTTATGTTATCCAAGAAAAAGCCAAGAGAGCTTTGCATAGTTACGTAGTTCTTTGGCTGGGGATGCATCTCTGAGTAAGGAACTCCGCTCTGGCTTGGCAGCTCCATTTAGCAGGGAATGATTTCAGCATAAAAAGGGCATTGGAAGGGTGGGGAAGGGTGTCCTTACTTTTGCAGATTGGGATCTTGTTACTCCATGTCCCGTCCTTTTGACACTCAATCTGGAAGGAGTCACTTTCTAGGTTATCCTGTGTAGAAGATGCCAATAAAAAATGCTGTCAATATACTAGGCAAGGAAATACTGCTCTCTATAAAAAGTCAACTTCTTGGTGACTTAGCCAAGATATATCCAGACTCCCTGGAAGAAGACTTTTGTAGCTAAAAATCAGAATCAGATCGTATGAAGAGTTAAATGAATTTTCTTTTGCTTAATACCAGCAATTCAGTGGAACGCTCAGTGTAGAAGAATTGTAGATGTTTATTCTTATTCTATGTGCTGGATTGCTTTGGCCAAAGCTGGGTAAGGAAGCAGCTCTGCGTAGGGGACGAGTCTAGGAAGAGATTAGAGAAATTCTCCATGTCGGAAGTCAAATCAGGCTACTGGTTTGGAGGGAAGAGAGCCCCCACGTGAGTCAGTCACACTCCCTGTGGTGCTCAGCTGTTTCCTGGAGGTGGCCTGCCAAAATCCCAGCCCCCTTGACTTGCCAAAGCATTCACAAAGTCCCGGAGGACCACCCAGCCAGCCAAGGCTGGCCGCCTGCGTCCCTGGCCGGCGGGTTTCCCTGGAAGCTGAATCAGAGCCCACTAAGGTGGGGAGCAGGCAGCATCTTGGCAGCTTCCCAGGGACTTTTAATGACTTTTTCTCTTGCAGAGGTGCCAAACTTCGTATTCTCTGAGCTGGCCAGCTCCAGATGGATGCTAAGAGGATGGCTAAGAAAAGCGCCATTCCCTCTCTCCTCCTGCTTCTTTGGAAAAGAGTGTTTGTATCTTGCGGAGAAGACTTCGTTCTTGCTCTAGTGAGGTGGGAAGACTGATACATGGGTCATGTTCGCTCTCCCAAGTGTGAATGTGATGGCTTTGGTAGGACCAAAAAGCACCTCATGCTCAGGAAGGAAAGAGTCTTGTTTTGAATACAGAGAGATGGGTGGGTCGGAGGAGGCAACAACTGGGTATTGCATATGCCTGAGAAGCCAAGGGAAGCACTGAGCTAGCTGGTGCAACAGAGCATAAAGAGGATGTACATGCTTGGTAAATATATAAAAACTGGTGCAGTGAAATAAGGAATGTTCTCGTTTCTGTACCTATTTTGATTTGGATGAGGTGTCACAAATGCTGTGTCAGACAAGCCTAACCTAGCAGTGATAAATCCCTTCTAACAGTAAAGGGAGATGTCGCCAGGGAGCATCACCTCCAAGTTTGGGAGAAGGATCTGAACATCCTAGGGATATTTGGGGACAGGCCATTAGCACATCCATGGGAACTGAGCCTGCCTTGGGTCAGGGGATGCATTCCCTGAGTCTCTCCAGATATATGACACCACATTTGTCTTGTTCATGGTGGACAGATCAGTTGATGTCAGGAGAGAAAACAGATATTCCTGAAGCCTTGCAAGAGCTGGTGTCAATATGTGATGTTGTGTCACACCGTAGTGCTTGGGTCTTGCTGCTCTAGATGAGCAGCCCTCTATTCAAAAAGGAAATAGGGAAGCCTGAGTCCCTTCAGAGCCCTGCTTAGCAGAAGAGCTCTTGCTTTTGCAGCTTGGAAAACACAGGATCCCTCCCTTTCCGCCCAAGTGTCCAGCTCTATGCCATCTCCCTGTACCTTCAGGACTTTGTATCCGGTATCGCAGCTGATGACAACCTGGTCTTTGAAGGTGTACTTGGCTTGAGAAGGCTCGATTTTCCCATTGATTGGGGGTTGCACCAGTGGGCATGGGTTCCCTTTGAAAAAAAAACAGCAAGCAAAGCAAAATGAAACTCTCTGAAGCAAAGAGAATCCCAGCTCTACTGTCAAGTCCTCTCGGTGCAAAGCTCCTCTGCTCTTTACCATTAGCCTACACTAYGAGGGCTCAGCTAGGCAGTTTCCCACAAGTGAGAGGAGGCTCCAGGTCTTTCCTACAGCCCCAGGCTGTCTCTGGTTTTGGGTATTATAGGCCTGGGAATGAAAAAAGTAGCTTGTGTAATTATCCTCCCAAGAACTGCATTGCTTTAAATATGTTCTCCTTTCAGGGCCCAGCTGGAGGAATTAAAAACATCCTTTGAAGGGAGGTCTCCCTGTTATTTTATCCATCTCCTTGTGACTGCTGCCACAAATCCTTTCCCAAGAATATCACGGATCACCAAATATCACAGTTTCCACCTGCAGGGTTTACAAACTTCCCCTGCCCCAAGCCTAAAAAATTGAGGAAAGCAGCAGGATTTACCGATTGCCGTGTACGACAGCTTCCAGCCTCTGTTCTCTCCTGAATTGTCACTGTGGAAGAGAATCTGCACACTGTTGGTTTGAGTTTCAATGATTCCCGGGGATTTCTCTCCACAGAAAGGGCCGAACTCCCTATGTCCGGCCTTGATCTGTCAGAGCAAACAAGAATGGGTGGCTTGAGTGGGTTTCTTGAGGAGGAGGCACAAACTCTGGGGAGTCACTTCGCCCTGAGGCTAGTGGCTGGGAACACATCACAGCAATGGGGTCACTGGAGCTTATGCACCATATGGTGATGGGATGTAAACAATTTTGAGGCTCAAGACCAGAAAGAGGGTCGTCATTGCCTTGGAAGGGCAAAATCAGACATGGTGACAGACCTGGGTTCAGTCAAGCAATGGGCTTCTGCTGGTTTTATAAGCTCCATTTAGACAGGGTCAGTTTGGGGCCTGTCACCAGGGACTATCACTCARTAATAGGGGGAAAATGATAGGAAGAGAGAGCAGGACAGGAGGATCACGWAGAGCAGAGCTCACCTTGATAAAATCATAGGGACAGGTAACCTCGGGGTGGTCTTCCACATCGAAGCTGTCCTCAAAGCTCAGGGTGATGAAGAAGCCTTCCTCCAGCTCGATGCGGTACAAGCAATCCGAGCTTTTTGGGTAGGGGCCGGGGAAGTCTGCGCTGGTGATGACCCCGTTCCTCTGGGTGAAGAGGTTGTCACTGCATTCCACTGAAACACAACCACAGCTTGCTCAGTGCCTGACAAGCCAGCACCCAACCCTGACCATGTAGTTGGGAGGCTCTGTGGAATCACTTTCCCAATATTGCCTTCTTCCCATATCCAGTCCATCCTGCATGCCACATACTCAATCATACTCATTTCCAGCTAATCTGCATCAGTTCATTCAGATTTAGGGCAGAGGCTAAGCTTTTTCATTTCTCTGTCATGAATAACAGAGGCTTAGAGATCTAGGGTTGAGATGAGGAGTACAGCTCATGGGGGAAATCAGGCTTGGCTGATGGCAACAGGCCTTGGCTGCTCTCTTGTCCCAAGCTAYCGTAGGAGAAGATGCCCCTTGTCCTACCTGCAAGAACAAGCAGTTTTGCCTGTGTCTTGCAGCTCTGTGGTATGCTCAGGGCCCCATTTGTGTGACCATCCCCATGTCTGAGCTGTGCCTGGATGGTACCTTTGCAGGTCCTGTTGTCAGAGTGGAGGATGTAGCCGAACCTGCAGGAACAGTAGTACCCCCCGATGTAGTTGTGGCAGTAGTGGTCGCACGCCAGTTCCTCATCGCTTTTCTCCAGGCACTCGTCCACATCTAGGGTGGATGGGAAGGAGACAGGAAGGAAAGGAGGTCACCTTGGGACCCTTTACATGTTCCTCTCCATTGAGGGATTTGTCAGAGGAACTGAGAAATCTATTGTGACACAGGGTGRGTCACTGCAGATATGTCGGGGTGGAGAGAGGAGCAGAGGATTTGTGTAACTGCTCAGAACAGGTCCTTGGCATGCATGACTTTACTGCAGGAAAAAGCCACTAGAACATCTCAACTCTGCAGCCTCTTTACCACATCACRAGTGCCCAGAGAATCCCCAGGGAGCAGGGTCCGGGCTACACACAAAGACCTCAGCTTCTTGTATGGGGTCTCTGGAGGTGAAGGCTGGGATGTGAGCTCAGCCAGGGGACCCAAAGGGCRGTGAATTTGTTACCTACCCTGGCAAGATAGTCCTGGTGGCCAAGTGCTGCTTACCCACGGCTGTGTAATGGGCATCGAAGCCAGTGAAGCGTTCCTCGTTGGAGAAGTCAGATCTGAAAGTGAGCCCCATGTAAGGACCTGGGGACAGGATCACTTGTTGGCCAGGGGCCTGCTCTGTGTCTGTCGTCTCCCTGCCGCAGAAAGTTGCCAGCTCCTGGTCTTCAGCTTCAATCTGTCAGCAAAAAGACTGAGTAGGTGCATGGCATGGCTCAGGATTTGCTGCTTGGGCTCTGCTCAGCACTTTGCTCTGTAGATGAGCCAAGCCGGCCTGTGCTGTACTGGACATTCCCACTTCCTCCTTCTACCAGACTGTTGAGTAAATTTCTGTGGTTTGGAAGAGCCTGTGGAGAGTTCTCTGGGTCAATACTTTCACCCCAGCTTTCCAAACCTAGCCACGCTGGGACACAGGGAAGCATTGTAACCCATCGGTCTGCCTGGCTGCTCAGAGTCTTTTCCCCTCTGTACTTTCTGCATGGGAGGAGATGACTTTTCCCACCTGTACAAATCAAGAGTGCATCAGTGGCCCATACACTCAAGGATGAGGCTTTGAAGAGCTCTGACGCTGCACGCTTTGTACATCCTCCTCAGCCCCAGCAGCCCAGTCCCCTTTCCCTTGCAACATCATCTTCCTCACTGCTTCAGAGGCCAGCAGACTTGTCCCAACCTCCTGAGGCTGCCTGGGGTTATCCAGCAGTTTGGAAGCACAGCATTTGATGCCTACAGCCGAAGGATATACTACTTTCAACACAATGTTGAGCTCAGTCTGCAGTGTGTGTGTCCTCCTGGCCCCTGCACCCACCACATTTGCAGCACCTGAGCATAGGCAGCTCTGCCCCCTTGGATGCCCCATACCCTGTGCCCTGTACCCCCTCCAAGGTGGGCTGCAGGTGGGTGATCCAAGGAGCCTGGGCACCTTAGGAGAAGGAATTTCCATCCTTGCCCCCTTCATCTACATCCTSGATGTAGAGAGCTGCTGGGAGCTTGGAAGGAGAGGGCGCAGGAAGAGATCCTGTTTGGGAGGTGAGAGCGTTGGCAGGTGCTGCAGAAGGCAGCACGTGAAAATCAGCCCCGATCTGTGTCACTGCCACCCAGAGCTGCCGGTACCTGAGATAACTCCTCTTTCCACCTGAACTCTCCTTAGTGCAGCAGCACCTGCCTGATGGCTGCAGGGCCGGGGGATGCTGTGGGAGGAGGCTGGCACCTCCAAGGAAACTCCCTGCCCCTCAGCCCTGCTGATGCTGAGATGCAAGGCAGAGCACACAACCTGTTTGCAGTTAGCRGTGAGGGATGGAGTCACTGCGGGCTCTGGGCAGACCAGACATTAATCACTTCCACTTGGGATGTCTCATGCTCTGAATTTGCTTGTCTTCTGYGCACTACATGGTCCCCTTGCGTATCTGCCCCTGTCTGCTGGGAACAAGCCATGTRCATCTTCACTGCTGGTCCATTTGGAGAGGCTGCAGCCCATGTCTGGTTTGCATCAGCTCAATCAAGACTAATCTGCAGTCTTCTCTATTGGGTCGTGTTTCTGTCTCCAAATCTGGCCTGCACAAGCTTGGTCTCATCCCGGCTGTCCCAGCATGTGTCCCTGCTGCTCAGGTCCCCACCAGTCCTGAACATACAGTGCCAGGCACAGTGACTCACAGCTGTGTCCAGTAGGCACCAGCATAGGCTGGTGGGCCAGCATGCCCTTGTCAGCTGCTTGAGGTACAACAGTCCCTTTGGAAAATCCTTCTCCATTCCCTGGAAACGCCCTCCCCATCTTTTTCCTCACTGTTTCCCCTAGGAACATTTCAGACTTGAATCCTTATGGTCCCATCTCGGTCTCCTGCTAGCCCCCCCCCAGCCCCCTTCTGGGTTGCCGACTCCCCCAGCTCCAGCATCTAGTGCCCTGCCTGCTTTTCCCCAGGAAATTTGAATATGAATAGCCCTATGGCAGAGGAATGCGGGCCCCGCGAGCCTGCCAGCCCGCTGCCGCTCATGCCAAGTGGGAGCTATTAAGGCCACGAGGAAGAGAGCAGCCCCCCGGCACGAGCAGCAGCGAGCCAGCAACCGAAGCACCCAGACTGTTGTAAAGCATCTGCAGAAAGTGGCCCGTCTGGCTGGGGAATATGGAATTGCAGGGCTTCCTGGGCACTGGCAATGCAAGGCCCACCTTGTGCTGCCACCCTGGKGCCCATGGCACATAGGGATCCCCTCCAGGACCAGGGCAAAAAGGGAAATTTCCCAGGGCTGTGCATGCAGGCGGGAACTTGCTCGCGCCAGTGAGAGACGACATGGAAATGGCAACTCAGCCTTGACATTGCCTCCAGATATTTTCCATGCTCTCATATGAGCCAGAGCTGGCCAGAAGAGAGAGAGAGTTTCCGATGATAAATTTGGGGAATTTGGAGAAAAAAAAACCATGCGTCCCACATTGGGACAAAACCCCAGCTCAATGCTCTGTGGGTGTATGTGTGTGTAAAAGAGATCCGAAACAAACAAAAAGTTATTTGGGGTCCATCTGGTTTCAATCACATTAAAACACACTCTGGTGCTTTGGAATTTTTTAAAATCTAAAATAAAGAATGATTTGAAATGAATTATCATTTCAAAGTGAAAAATAGGCGCTGCTACCTCCCGAAGTGTAAAAAAATGGCATTTCAGCTACATTAAAAAGTGCACTATTTCGCCTTCCCCATGTGCAGTCTCATCCAAGGCAGCAGGAATACGCGGCACACGGCATCTTCTGTGCGGGGAAACTGTTTCCATCCATCTCCTCTATTCTCAGGCCAGCCCTAGTTGTCACCTCTGCCTGCAGGGACGCATGAGCTGCAGCCGTGAACTTGTCCCCTTCCCGCTGGCCCCAAACCACACCGGAGCCGCTGAGCAGCAGGATGCAGCAGGAAGCAATTCCATGCTTCCCGCTGCATGGGATTCCRGGGTCCTGGCGCAGGGAGCCACGGGATGAGGCCTGGGGAGCTGCAGCTGAAGGTATCCACAGCCCCTTATCTGTGATGGGTCCCATGCCCCGGGACACAGGGAGCAGAGACAGCCCTCTGGCAGTAAACTAAACAGAGAGGTCATCCTCCCTGGTTAATATTTGCTGCCGCTGCTGAGCACTGTATACTTTTTTGTAGATCATTTACATCCAGCGAGCAGGCTGGTAATTAAATCCTGGTTGTTTGTTTGGAGTTTCTCCCTCTGGGGTCATGATGTCGACGTTTTCACTAGAGAAGATGTGTCCCTGAGGGAAATATCAATTGCTGAAGAGAAATGCCCTATAAAAATACGCTGAAAGAATCCTCCTTTGAAAAATCAAGGAAAGCGACGCTCTTGTGCCTTAAATTTGCCCTTGTGGACGCYGGATAACTTGTATGTCCCACCGTCTTTCCCATTCCCACTTTGCACCTGAGCCCACTGCTGAGATTTCTATCCCCAAGGAAATGGAAAGAGACGGGGGTCCCTCCTCAAGCTGCAGCTCTGTCCCCTGTATTTGACTTGGGCTGTAGCTCGGGGACTGGCATGATGCGATGGGACACAACGAAAGAAGATGTGCAGTCCCGGTGCCCCACACAAGATTCCCTGCAGGGGCTGGAGGAGATACCTCCTTGAGGGTGAGTTAAAGGAACTTCACAAACCCCAAGTGGAATTTGACCGGTTGGTTCCATATCTGCCACCGGAAAAGAGCACGAAGCCGCAGTAGGGAAACGCGGCCACCGCCCCCACACTCATCCCTCCAGGAATGCACTAATTGGACTGATGAGGGCCAAACATACTGCTTGTAACATATATAAATGGCTCATTAGACAGAGAAATTGCAGTGCTTGGCTAAAGACACTGGGAACATGACACGGGGAGGAGATGCTCGGACACAGGGAAGGGCACGGAGTAGCCCCTGCAGAATTGCCTTGCAGTTAAAGTGCAGGGAAGATGACAACACGCAGATTAAGGGGGCTTTTGCAAAATGACTGATGAAGCTACTTAGTGTTGGAAACATGTCTGGGATGGGACAGATGAAGCCAGAAGCAGAAGCCTGCATCTCCGCTTCCCAGAGGTGGTCSCCTCGGTATGTATCCTTCTCCTTGATTCACATCACAGCAGCTTTTGAGGTCCTTCAGCATGCAAGTGTGCACCTGAATTCCCACAGGAAGATGCCTGGCAGCTCAGGAAAACATACTCCTACTGCACTTCCCTGGCTGAAAGTGCTGAAAAGCAGGAAGAAACGGGCTGCCTTGTGCCTGCGGGCAGGAGGCAGCAAACCCCGGGCCGAGGACACCGGGCTGTGACATGCCCCGAATGCCACGCTAAACCTCAGGGAGACRCAGCTCCATCACACTGTGGAACTTTCACAATCGCCCACAGATTCCCGGAGCTGGAGTGTTAACCACTTGGTCTCCCTGAGAGCTGCATCCCTGTGGGCTCCATCCATCCCGCAGCCTGTGCTTGGAAGAGGGAAAGTCCTACGGCATGTGCTGAAATCTGCCAAGCCTCAAGCATGTGCCATCCCTGGTTGGGAACCGGTGGGAGGGTGACCCCACCAGGACTGTGGGCCTGCAGGGACTCATCATGGGCTGGCTGTGGGCAGATCATCTCATCAGAGGSCCCATCTTCATCTGCTTCATCAAGAACTTGGTCCCAGCCATGCTGCCAAACTTTCAGAGGCTGATTTAATCACAGGGATTGACAGAGTAAGTGCAAAAATATATGGACAGGACCTCAATCTCACTGACCAGCTGGGAGATATAGACATGAAGTGAACAGAGAACAGCAAAGCCATCCAGCCCCTTGTGAGTTGTAGGAAAATTGCAAGCTACTTTGCATGTTCCTTCTAGCAGGATGCATCTCCCCATGGCTGGCCTGGAAAGCACCTGGCACCTCTGTGACAAACTGACTCCCACATGGGGTGAATACCAGCCTGGAGGTGCTCTAAACTTATGACTCAAAGCTGTGACAGCTGCTTCTCAAGAAATCCTCAAAAAACACACAGGAGTTTTGAGTCACAGCCTTGGAAGTTCTCCTTGTTTCCCCCAGTTGAAGACGCAGGAATTCAACCCAAGCTGAGCCCATCTGTCCAGTCTGGAGCAGAGTCTTGCACAAAAAGCCGCTCAGATTTCATCGTGCAGCTCCCTGTCTCTACCACAGCGCTCCCTTATGACGCTAATCCAATCGCTTAACCCRCTTTTCCTGCTCGCAGCCACTGCTTTCTAGGTTCCCCAGGACAGYGCTGCCCTGTGGCACCCTGGAAACAAGCCAAACTCTGTGCAAATCCAGGTGAAGCCACTGCAGATGATGCACCCAAATCTGTGGTGAGATGGACCCCAGCACGTTCTTTGGGAAGGGTGTGAGTTGAGCAGAGAGCACGGAGCTGAGCAGGGAGCAGCGCCAAAGCTGCTTATTCCCTCCTGGGCTGGGCACATGGTTTGGGGAATGGATCCAAAAGCCTGGGGGAAGCTGTCTCCATCCCACCAAGACCCTGAGCTCAGCTTCCAAAGGCAGCTTGGACGCTGGTGTTTCCTACCTGTGCAGGGCTGGTCTTCTTTGGGTGCGTATTTTGAGGGGTGACTGTCCATCCTGTCCCTCCTGGCTCCCTCCTTCCCTAAAGCCCCACTCACAGCCTTTGCCATCTCCACTCACCCAAACGCTCCCCAGGCCTGTAAGCGTTGCTTTCGGAGCTGGTATTTTTATATGTATATGAATGCATATATCTATATATATAAATAAACAGCTATTGTTTTAATTAACCATTGTTTCAGAGCTCTGGAAACTGTTCCCTCCTGACGACCACCCCGAAGGCAGGCATCTGTGTATGTTTGAAGCTTGGCTTCCGCTGAACATGCCACTCAAGACACTGCTCCAGAGCAGGCATGTGCATGGCTCAGAAGGCAACGAAAGCAAAGCTTTCTACCTGTCCCAAACGGAGATTTTCTTTTTCCTTGCCTTGCACTATGTAGTCTCTGTATTTGCCCTCATTCCTACAGCAGKGAAGAAAATATCTGCCAGGAGAGTCAATTAGACATTGAATCAGGGCCTTATTTAGGACAAACGAGCAGAGACATTTCTTCACACATGTACATTATCATATACAGAATCTGTGCAGCTCTCTGGCACAGGATGCTGCAGAGACTCATGCATGAGTTCAGAAACATGGACAAATTCATGGAGAAGAAATCTATCAAGTGCAAGCAAACACAGAGATGTCACCTTTGGCTTCCTAAGCTGTGCTGAGTCTCTTTGCTGGAGCTGGCAGAGTGCTAAAGAAAAGTACCTATATCCTTTAAGTCTAGAGCTATGTTCTGCAGGCGTGAACTGATCCTCTTTTCATGTCTTGCACTGATGGTGGTGGAGGCACACAGACCAGAGAGGGAAATGGCCATGAAGTCATTTGTGTGCTCTCCTTATATTTTCTTAGCTGGTGGCTTAGCAGCATCAGGATTGCATCTCAACSTAGCGGAGAAGCTTATGGATCATCCATAATCCATCCAGATGGACATTTTCTGAGCGTTTTCAATACAAATGTAATTCCTTGGTGGAGGCTCTGCAAGATGAGTTTCAGCCCAGAGCAAATTTATACAGCTGAGATCTAAATCCTTGTGAAAAATACCGCCTTCTTATGGAAATCCAGCGACAGGGAAGGTTGTGGTGCCAATTTGGCACCAAGGCCAAATAACAGGGAGCCTTATGAAAAAGGAAAAATGAGCAGGGGGTGAAAGGCGGGAGGAGGGGTAAAGCTTGGAATGGGGAAAGTTTCCAAGAAATCCACTCCTTTAGCCTATTCGGTTTTTAAAGCAATATATCTCTATATATGTCCCTGGCCCTTGTGCTTGGAGTAGATCCAGGAGAGGCAGAAAGAACTAATCAAACCTCAATAAGGGCTGTTAGTAGCGGAAGGAGCACCAGTGCAAAGGGGAAATGAAAACAGTAAACAGCAGATCAGAGAGGGAAAACACCAATGTTGGCTTCATCTTCTTAGTGCAAGAATGAAATAGCAATTAAAATAGCTGGCAGCTAGAGCCAGGGCTGCGCTCTGTGGCTGCAGACCTGCATCCACACTCCACCTGCCTCAGTGTGAGGGGCTGGGTGAGACCCATGCCTAGTTTGAGCCCCGCTTAGTGAAAGCACCTGCTTGCTATAGCTGGTCCGGACAGCAGCAAACCTTATCTAGTGCAAAGAGAGGGAGAACTCAGCTTCTTATAGACATCAAGGAGAGCACTGCCTGCAGACACATGTTTCTAGGCACAAGGATGTTCAGATGCACAGCAGTGTGTGTTCCACCAGTGCTTTTGATGGGGTGAACCGTGCTGCACATGAAAGGGAGGCTGTGGATGCAGGTCCAAGCTTGCAGGCTCAAGCTCAGGCCTAGAGCTTCCCTCTTGCTTCCCTTGGGASTGGATGGGATCTCCTGAGAATTGTAACCATATCTGGGAGCCCAGATTGCGTGCAGGACACGCACAGCCATGGCCTGGTGAAGGCACACATCAAGAACCCTCCTTGCACGTGTTTTTCACTACAGTAGCACAGATTGGGAGTTAGCTCACTTCATATAGGTGTCTAAACACAATCGGATTCAATGAGAATTAAGTGCCCAGATAACCTCAGAAGCCTGGGTCTTTGTGGCTAAGCTCTGAACTGGAGTGTCCCAGTCACTGGTTAGGTCTAAAGTTTGTTATCATCTTATTACTGCTTGTCCTGTCGTCTACTGGACTGCCAATTCTTGCGCTTAATAAATGGTGAAAAACAGCRTGTCTCTAGACTTTCTAGCACTCTTTCTCAGCTGGCCAGACTGGTCTCCCTTCTACCCATCCACRAGCCCTGTGACACCACAGCTCACCTTCACATAGTCGTATTCACAGAGGTAAGATGACTCCAAGTCAAAATGCATGAAGTAGAGCTTGATTTTAAATCCATCAGGMACAGAAATATTCCATGTCATTTCTGAGTCACTGGGATAGGAATCCGGGAAGTTTGGGGACTGGATCTCTCCAAACATATCTGTCAGCTCAATGGCATCTGCCACAGAGAGCAGAAAAGCACAGAAGGACCAAGCCAGAGGATACCTGGAAAATACAAAGAGAGACCAAATGAAGCTTTTGCAATGCCCAAACCTGTCAAAGGTTTTCCAAGAAAATCATGTGAGGTCTCATGGTTGAGATGCTAGAATCTGACTGACCAGGTCACAGACCTGGTGCGAGGTGCTGGGTGGGAGAGGAGACTCAGTGCTGCGTTCCCATGAGCAAACCTCATGCCAAGTTGAAGGGAGGTGGATGTTAGGATGCCGTGCAGCAGGGGTGAGAAGATCCTTGCAGAGGTGTCTAAAGTGGTGCCAAAAGCACAGGAAGAGCTACCCATCTAGCTCCGGGTGCCTTCAGGAGTTAAGTGTTTCTAACACTTCTTCTGAACACTTAGCTGTGGGCTAATGATGTTCTAATGGTCAAATCTTCATTTCACAGAAGAATAAACATAAGCATGCTTAATAAGATAAGGATGCTTTCTTAATCAGTGTAATGAAAGCAAAATGGCAGTAACAGCTAATTATTATTATTATTACTGTTTAGCTTTATCATGCCAGATTGAGAGTGCTGACTCTCACAGCACAGCTCTTTGCTACTAAGTATAACCTAGAATCTTCCTCTTCTCTTCTCTTCTCTTCTCTTCTCTTCTCTTCTCTTCTCTTCTCTTCTCTTCTCTTCTCTTCTCTTCTCTTCTCTTCTCTTCTCTTCTCTTCTCTTCTCTTCTCTTCTCTTCTCTTCTCTTCTCTTCTCTTCTCTTCTCTTCTCTTCTCTTCTCTTCTCTTCTCTTCTCTTCCCCAGGTAGAGATGCACACAAAACTTAAAATCCTTAGAGTTCTTTTGGCATCAAACTCAACTTTATATACCTAAGGAGTTTGCCACAGGCATCAACTTGCTCATGTCAGAGGTGCACAGAGAGCCCAAGTAAATCAGCAGCTGATTCTGCATTTGTAGCATGAAAGTGAGCATTAATAGAGCATTTCTCAATGCAATTGGAAGTGCACACAGCTCTGCCCATGCTGGAGGTCCAAACGTGAAAGTCCATGCTATTGCATGGGAGTTTGAGGAACATACCTTATGCTACTTACATCTAATGGAGTGCACATAGGAAAAGAAGCATATAGGAAATAAGAGCCATTAAAGAGGAATATTTAAACTTTTAAAAATAGGTGTCAAGGCCTGGCAAAGACTTGCAGGTGTGTTCTACAGTGGCTGGAACTATTCATATATATACGCACATACGGTTTCAAAATTAGGGCTCGATGGTGAGGACATTGAAACTATGTAAGTGGATTATTTTTAACCTGGCTTCGTTCTCTGGAAACCAGGGCAGTATATTACTGGGGCTCATTTCTGTATGCCATCACTTTCCCCAGCTCTTGGTTACAAAGAAAAGTTAATGGGAGCTGAAAAATTTGGACCAACTTTTCTTTCAAGCAGAGTGAGGTTGAACATGCCTTATTCTGACAGTTTGTCTGAAACCACAAAAATGTGTGAAGAGAAAATGTGTTTCTCTTCTGGTCAGAGTACATGCACAARGGCTGGATGCTCATCTGGTGCAAATGGACATCACCTCCTTGGCTGGAGCGGGCCTTTTCCCGGTGCAACCCTTTGCTTCCTCTTTAATCAGAGGAAATCAAATAACATCGAAGTTTCCCAGGCCAGGAAGGTCTCATCCTCACCCAAAAGTGAGAGCTGGGCACGATGCACAGAGAAATGGGAGTCCCGCGTAGCACCGGAGCTGAGCTCCTGGGTGCGCGCAGAGCGCGGCGTCGCTCTCACGCTCCGGCGCGGTGCGGGCGCCTCGCGTCCCGCTCCCATTCCCCCGATGCTCCCATTCCCCCGATGCTCCCATTCCCCCGATGCTCCGGCTCGCAGTCCGAGCGGCAGCGTGAAGGCGAGCCGCGAGCAGCGCTTTGCTCGCGCAGGGAAGGAGCACTCACGGCAGGGGAGCGCTCTCCGGAGCAATTGCCCCTCTGCAAAACAATTGCCCCTCTCCCCCGCGGACCACAGCGCACGGGACGTGCCCAGCGGGTAGGTACTCACCTCATTCTGCAGCTCGGAGAGGCTCCCGGTTGGACCGGAGCGCGGGGCAGCGTGTTTGCTTTCGGGGGGTGGCTTTGCGCCGCTCCGGGCGCTCCGCCGCGCGCCTTATCTTTGCGCCGGGGCTCGTGAGCGTGCGAGCGCGTATGTGTGTGTGTCTGGAGCTGTCTGGCATTTTCCATGCAGGTCACGCCTTCCCCTGCCTGCAGCGGGTCCCCACATCCCCACACGCACACGCAGACCTGGCACAGAGGCTGTCCTGCCCTCCGCTCCCGCCGGCCCTCCTCTCGCCCCGCGCGCCCCGGCCGCAGCCCCGCGATTCTGCTAAGTTTTTGTCTTTCTTAATCTCCAGAGTTTGTGCGAGTGTGTGTGTGTGTGCCCGTGCACATTGTGTTTTCTCTCCCTCTCTTTTTTTTTTTTTTTTTTCCCCCTGCAGGCTGCTTTGCCAGATGGCTAAAATTTGCCTCTCAATAGGGACAGAGGCTCCAGCAAAAACAGAAGGC